GAGGAGATCATATGGGGCAGCAGATATAGCCCATTCATTGCCACTTGCATTGCCAGTTTTGCGAGCATTCAATCCAGCTAACAACCAGTTGGAGTATCTACATCAACAGACGGTTGGTATTTCCTAAATGTGAGCATGGTTTCTGGTTGAAATCCTAATCACAAAAATACAAAAAATCTAGATTCTCGGACTATGAAAGCAAACTACCTTGAAAGAAGTTGCAGAAATAAGCGTAAAAACTTGTCAGAGCAAGAAAGGACAAGAACATCATCTCTCCAGCATGATCTCAAGCAATCCATAAGAGAAATACTTTGCTTCAATGCTGAGCTTCGAGAATATTCCTGATTGGAGGAGTTCTGAGAGCGTAAAAGTGTAGTAGTCATAAGTGCAGAATCCAGAGCACCGGCTATTTCTTGGAACCTGAGGTAATAAATCAACAGCTCCATCTTCAAATTGCTATATTTTTCTCTTTTGTTTTCAGTTTTATTACCTTCCCAACATTGGGGAAAGCGAAACATAATAAACTATGAATCATATATACCTCAATGAGAAATAAACCCCAGTATTCCATTGCTTCATGAAATCTATATAAACTGTCTCTTCCCGTAATTTTGCGACAGCAGATCGAGAGGGACAGTAACCTTGAAAACAACAAAGCACATGAGCAAACATTGTTGAAAAGAACAGAAAATACGAGCACATAATGAGTTAACAGGTTCTCAATCACCTTCTAGATAATCCAAGAAATTTAAGCTTGATTTATAGTTTTTGAGGAACTCCACGGGCCTTCCAGGAGAGAAAGCCCCTGGTTTTCCTTTCTGGATGGCTGATAAGACCTCTTTCAGAATAGATTTCGCCAGGAAGCTAAAAACATGCAGACCTGAATTTTCTGCATAATTCAAACAGTAAAACAATCAGCACAATGTGACTTATATGAACACCAGAAATAGACAACTGGCAAGAATTAAAGATACACAAGTACAAAAATGAAAAGTATATACAAGACCAACATTTAACTCAGAGCTAATCAAGTTCTACCATGTCATTTAGCAGAAAGTTAACAGTGACAAACAAGTGATACAGTTTTTCAAGTTCATTAAATTAGTTCAGCAAGATAATTCCAGGACAACATTGGAGTATCACTCCACTTTAACTAAATAATAAGCACACCTGTAAAAGATATTTCCAAACAAACTTTGCAATCATCTTCAATGTTTCGCTTGATTCTTTCATAGTATTGCACGAGCTCATCTCCAGATGATTCGCCAACTGCTCCTGATGAGCCATGAGGAATAATTTTCTGTATGAATGGTGCAACAACTGTTGAACGAAAGATTTCTTCAGCACTACTGGTTTCATCAATAGCAGCATATGCACGTAAACAATTGTATATTGCATTTGCATCCCTGTGCTCCAGGCTATCTGCAAAACACTGTCCCAAGCTTGTATCCAGTAACAAACTAGCGTTCTGAATCCTCTTCACCATGTTCTCAATAAAGGGCATGTTCTGTGCTGCCATCATAGAAAACGAATCAGGATTCTTATTCTAGAAGTCCACTTATACGTAGAGGCATGTAGCTTTAAAATAATTTACGCGCTGCTTTATACAAGAAGTGTATCAGCAAAGTCGAGATAATGTTTTTTTTTAATTTAGCTCATTTTATGTAAAATTTACTTTTTTATTTTTTATTTTCTATTTACATAGAATATCCATGGTTCACAAATCTCATACTATTTCATCATCATGCAGGAAAAACGTAACAGGTTATACAATAATAAATAGGAGAAGCGTTTCTACGAGAATGGAGCTAGACAGACCTGTGCATGAGTAGTATACAGCTTTAGTTGATTCATTTCAATAGCAATTCTCTCCAGAAGCACGCTTTGTGTCTCTCTAAGGTTAGTTCCATTTTCCGAATGTTGAAAAGGAATACTATTTCTTAGTCGATCTTTCTCAGTAGAACCCGTGGTTCCATTGGGCAATTCAGCTGGAACACTTGGCAGCTCATTTATCATTTTTTCAACCTGACCAAAATAATATAAACTTCGATCAAGCATTAAGTAATATATCAATTGAGGAACTATAGGCAAATATATTGCATAGAAAAACCACATGTTACTCAAATTAGATAATTTCATACCATTCACGTAGTTCCAGACAAGCTTCGACTAAGATGACAATCTCAGGAAGCAGAAGAAAACTACAACTAAAAAACACCAAACGGAAACCAAATCTTACATCTATCACTATGGAAGAACTCAACAGCAAAAATGGACACAAATAAGCATATTTTTGTCAGTAATTACTGAATACTAGTACGCATGCATGATCGCACTCGTACAAACGCATCAAACGACATTTGACACTCCCCAGAACAAAAATTAAAAGATCAAACTTTTCTCATTACCTTAACTATTGCTAGCAAAATTAAGTGAACTGAGATAAGTACATCAGAGCACATAGATTATCAAATCAAGTAAACACCTGCATTTCAGACATGCATAGCTAGTGTTGAATCGAAAATCGGAAACAGCGATACCTTAGAAACGGCATGAAAAGTGTCGAGCAACAACTCCAACACCTCCCTCGTTTCATCGGCCTGTGATCGCTGCTTCCGCCGGCTCTGCAGCGCCGCCAAGGAGAAGTCAACCGAGCCACGAAAATTCAAAATCTTCTCCTTGATCTCGAGAAGCGGGGCCCTCATACGCACCACGGCAGCGTCCACGTCGACAAGCTTCGTGCTGAGGCTGACGAAATCGACGTAATCGCGGTTGATTAGGTCAACCAGCTCGTGCTTGAGGGCTCCTAAATGAGATCGGAGCTCCGAACGCAGGGTGTCGAAGGGGACGAAGGTGCGGAGATCCGAGATGTACGACTCCGGGTCGAATTCCGGGTCGGAGAACTTCGACGGGTTGAGGTGCGAATCCTCAATCGGGTCGCCGAATAAATCCGTCGCCATTGAGAGTCCGGATCTTTGTTTCGAATATTTTGTAGGAATTGTTTTCAGATTTTCGAACGCATCTCGGAAGTCGAAAACACCATTTTTCCCCTGTCTCTGTGTGGCAGATCACATATTTGTATTTGGTCTTCCATTTTTTTACAAACTACTACTGAGAGAGAGGAATTACTGTACCAAATTGATGTGGATTGTTCTGAAAATACAAATTCAAACATTCTTACTTTTGCCTGCTAATTAAACGTTCTTCTTCTGAAACTTGCATACTTTCCTGAATGAATATTGCTTAAATTACCGCCGCGTCTGAGATAATGTTAAATTACGAAAAAAATGTTTGGGTTCTAGGTTCCGTGGATTATTCTCTAGTTTGTACTCGTTTTGTGAAAAATGTAGTTTCTTATGCACCACACTCTGATTTTTATAAGTCAAGAAGCGCATCTTATGATCATCTTGTTTCAAAATGTGGAGACCGAATGAGGTAAAACGGGTATAAATTGGAAAATATTCCACTTAATTTAGAAGATTTCACTAAATTTGATACCGCAAGGGTGGACGTGTAACAAGATTCATATTTGAGGGGTGGTTGCAATTACCCAAACATGATAAGTATTTTTATAATTTAACTTTACCTCATAGAGTGACCGTGATTTATCCAATTGTAAAACCGCGACACTTCCTACCCATTCATCAAAAACTCGTATTCTTGAAAGAGCACGTTTTGATGGGGAAATAAATATTTTCTACCGCACATATGGTATAATTTCAATATATTGGACATAGAATTTGAGGTTTACTGTATAGTTCTTGTGAATTTCATGTATTCATCCATCAACTGAAAAATATATATATATATACTTGAACGAATGATGTTTGTATTATAGTTTTTCATTTTCCACTGCGTTTTTTTTCCTACTCACCGGCTACTAGTGGCATATGTAGTGATTTTGAGGATTACTTTGATACTCCACATAACATGCAGATCGTGTGCCTTTATGTATAGGTGGTGTTGGATATGATTACGAGTCTTCCGGAAGCAAAAGTGCGAGATATTATGATCCCAGATATCCATCTTTTTGTCACAGTGAATATCGAGGATTTAGATACTATATCATCGTAATCATGTATCATGTGCAGGTACAGATTCATCTTATGCACCAGTTGAACCTTTTTTTTTTGATGAGTGCACCAGTTGAACCTTAATATGGACAATTTAGGTCTTATTTACCCAATGATTTCAAGAGAGAAAATCTTGAACACTATAATGCTAATGCAAGATTGTCGTCGTATTTGTTTTTGAAGTTGTAATAATAGTTTGCAGAAAATTGTATTTTAAAAGCTCTTTCAACGTAAGGTTAGGGTATTTGACAACCATTCAAAGAAGATATTCCCGAATTTGCTAGGGTCTGCGCACGCCGCTCTGATACTCCATCTTGGGCGTAGACGCTCTTCCAACGCGGGGCTAGGGTTTTGGGACCATTTCAAGGAGATATTCCTTTGTTTTTCTAAGGTGCAACGACTTTGCCCATGGGTTGTGATTAGAGATGGCAACATAGTCGGTACCCTAAAAAAAGTGTAATACCAGAACCATTATCATTTAATATATCTCAAACCAGAACTTTACCAAAAGCATTTAATTTTTTTACCGATACACAGAACCATTACCAGTAATATCCGGATACCCACTAGTATCCTATTTATCATTTAAATTATGGTAATAAAAAATAATTTCGGGACCGATAAATTTTAGTAACTCTCAGAAGAAAAAAAGAATTTTTTTTTAAGTAAATTATACAAAATCAAATAAGACACTTCACAAAATGATGTTCCAAGGCAACAAAATGATGATTAAAATAACAATATCCACTAAAAGATATTGAATATAATATATTTTGAAGTATGAAATTTATGAAGCAATACTTTATTTAAGATTTTGCCAAATTATTTTTTTATTCATATTATGTTGAATTATATATATATATATATATATATATATATATATATATATATATATGGTCTTGAACTTCAAATCATCAACTCCCGTTATAGTTTAGTACAAAATAATGCTAAAACTCCTTTATATAAAAAGATAACTACAGAGGGGAATGTATGATTGTTTTTTTCTGTTTTTTGAAGATTTTTTTTGCTGTCTGTATGTTTTGCAATTTTAGGAACAGCAGCCTCGAAGGGAAAAATTCTCATTACAAAGTCTTCTTAGTAGCTCACTGAGTAAGACGGGCTTGAACGTAAACGGAAACCAAAGGGAAAAAGAATGGAAGAAAAAAAGGATCCTCGAAAACGACTCTAATGAAGGAAGGGGATAAATCTCATTTAAGGACTAATAATTTAGTATACCCGTGCCGTTTTACTCAATACTTCTCGTACTTGCAATGAATGACTGGCAGCACTGCTGCACTCTTTGAATGTTTGGCCGAATTCCGGTACTAGAAGCTTATCGTGTTTTGCTTGTCAGAAGGAGCAACACACTGCCATAGGGAACGATATGTTGGAATATCAGCAGCATCGACTCCAAGGGAAGCAAGGTTACGCCCATATTCCTGAATGTCGGAACAAAAATCGAAAGTGAGAAAAAAAAGCAGATTTAATTACTTCCTACTAATATTTTGGTTTGGAGAAGAATTAAGAGCTCTATCTCACCTGAATATCAAGAAGTAACTGCATACAAATCTTGTCTGTATCAGATACGTTATGGTCCGAGACGTCTGAACTTGCTCCTGCTCGCCTTTGTGCACCTAAACGTATTTTCTGGAGTGAGGACTCCGTTTTTCTGGCCTGTCAACAAAGTGTCAGCTTGGCAGTGTTTTTTTTTTCACTTTATTGAATAAGATTGACTGGCTCTAAATCCATTTGAGTCGAGAAGCTACAGTTGATAAAGCAAGAAAATTGAAATAACTAAACTATGGTATATCGACACTAATATCCTACATTATTATTAGTATAATAACAAAGCTATGCATGCTTGCACACATACAGTCATTCATATAATTATGTCCAGATATCGCCTCCTTTTCCATGATAGTTAACTACATCTCAATAGTTGTTCTCAATCTATATTTCGTGAATGAAATTGCTTTCAAATTTTGCAATCACCCCCACTAATAAGTAGAATCTAGATTCATCCCTCAAAAGTCTCGAACAACTTTCAGCAGGAACTGCACAGTGCAATGTGATACTATTGGCACAAATAGAGCCTAAAATACACTCTGAATAATATCACCAAATGACCAAGGATAAAAAAGAGCGCTTTGGATAGTGAACATACCACACTGACAAGATCAGAAGCTAATTCATAATATCGACGAGTAATCTCGAAAGCAGCACCATGTACGAGTTCTTTACGGAGATCCTTTGTTAAATATGTAGCAGCTTGCTCTGCTTCCAGAAAAGCCTGCAGGAAATAGCAGTGATGGAAGATTTTTCTCCGAAATCAGTTTGAGTTGCTTAAATATAGTTATATAAATAAAGCAGACTTAAAAACAATACTTGTAAAGTATCCCCACTTGTGAGGCAGTTCACAAGAGGACAATACCTACTACATATCAACCCAAAAGACGCATAAAGTAACCAAAATTAAGATCTAGATACGAGAGATCTTGAACCCTCAGTTCAATAGCTTAAAAGGATCAATGCCTCATATGACAAGAGTAGTTGCTTTGTTTATGTTTGCTTTGGGCTATGAGGAGAGAGTTTTAGAAAGTAATACGAAATTCTTGAATGAGAATAGCATTAGTATATTCTGTTCAACAACTATTTCTTTTCACAAAGATAAAATATAATTTTGGCACAATTACTGTATTTGTTAGTAAAGGGTTACTAATTTCAGTTTCGGTACAGGATTTTCTTACCTCTTTGGCCTCAATTGTGCGGGTGGGGATCGGGTATGGGAAGTGCGAAAGTGGGGCTTGTAATTTTATACACTGTTGTTTATTATCTACTTATGATATAGGAACAAGAGACTTTATCCTGGACCTCTCATAAATTAAGACATAAAAACGGCAATAGTTGTTTGCTGCCTCATTTCATTCAATTGGTTTTTTTTTCTTCTCAGAAACCTCTTTTAGTGATGCCTAGTGCTCTGATGTCGGAAAATGCTTTTCTAGAGGTACTTGAACTGCACGATGTATTCCAAAAGTGAAGGACCAGTACAGTCAACTTTTTTAGGAATGTCAATATGAATAAAGGCAGTGGTAGAACTCCTTGAATGTACATATGCACTCACATTTTTATCATCTACATCATCAATCTAGCATTAGATGCCTGATTGGTTCGCTAAAAATCTTATTCTCAAATGAAAGAACTAGGCTGTGTTATCTCAGTTCTTTCTAGATTAGCATTAAAAGTTTGTGGAATTTCATATCAGCTAAGATACAAAAGATTGTGGAGCTAAAGAAATAGCTGTACCTTTAGAGGACGTAATACTGCAGATACATATGGTGAATGCCGAACCGGAAGAGGTTTATTGGTCATCCTATATGTTGCTGTTATTCCTTTGAGTTGTCGCAAATCCTACACAAAATATCCTCAGTATCTCAATGGTGATGATGATGTCACATATACATATACAGCCAATATTACCACCCATCATTAAGAATACAACCAGCGTAAGTATATTAATTCCAAACGAAAAGCCCTTCTGACATTTAATAGGATCTCTCAGAGCACAGTAGAATAAAGAAAGACGGCTAACCTCCACAGATTTCTCCACTAAAGTTTCTACAATCGAATTAATTAGCTGAGGCTGGAGAACTTTGAGAGAATTGCCACCCTGTAAAATACCCTGCTTCACAAGATCACGTACTTCAGGGGAGCACGACTTGAGAAGCTCAAGTACATGCCCAAGGTAATCACCACAAACTTCATCGACCAGGCAATTTATGTCATGAATTATCTGCAACAAAAAAATTTGATAAACAAATTTAACATCTGATCTTTAACTATTTATTATAAGGTGAATGTTGATTCTACCTATACAATAATACACACCAACTTCACCACATGTCATCACCATTTATCTAAATTTCACGTGTTCAGGAGAGTCGATGAATGAAAACGGGAAACTGGGACCAATGCAAAAAATGTTTTTAAGATTTTAATTAAAATTCAATATACAAAATCAAACAGAGAAAAAAACAGTAGAATGCTGCATGCAATCAGCTTTCCATACAGACATTAGTGACATACCCTCCAGAACTCGTAAAATTAGAATTAATTTAACATTTGAGAAATTTATTTGCCAGTTGAACCGTAAAAAGAGAATCCCCTCCGAACTCACAAAACTCAGCACTTTTGAATTACTTTGACCAGACCATCTCTATCAACTTTGGGCTATAAAATAAGATTAAAAAGGTTGACTTATATTCAAAAACAAATGTATTCATCCCAGACAGAAGCTCGACTACTACAAACTAAACTAAAAAGCACAGCTAACAAATAAACAAGTGGTGAACAACTAATAGGTAGTGTAAAATGCACAAGATTCCCAACTTCCGGAACTCTGTTGGTACTTCGGAATACAACAAAATTTGATAATACGGCCAACATTTTGAATCTTACAAGCTCATATGATGCAAAAATCCTAGCTCCATTTTTACCAATTCAAGAAATATTGAGTAGAACATCAATTGTGTCAAGATATTAGAAAGCTTCACAAAGATGTAGCACAATATGCTTTATCTAGATTAGCACTTAAGAATCATATGCAGGAAAGATGACTAAGTAGCTCGTAAATTCGCATATCTCAAGATATAACCTTTTAGAGAGATACTAATGATAATTTTGACCCATCGTGAAAAAAGGAGAGGAACGGGTTTAGGGGTTAGAGAGGCAGACAGCAAAGAACAGAACCAGATACAAAAACAGAGAAATAGAACAATAACTTAGTGAAATAGTGAAAGAACAAAAGCCAATATTGTGTTCCTTTCTGATCATTATGTGTATTCCATGTTGAATACTTTCGTTAGTAGGGTACACAACTAAATAAATAAATAAACCAACTTGGCCGAGTGAATACTTACATATTGGAAATAAGAGAAATTCTTGGGTGTTTCAAAAGGACATTTGCTTGAGATTCCTGAATTCGTAGTGTTTTTACAAGAAAAATATGATCTAAAAAATATCTACTAAGGGACTTCTTCAATATTCAGTTGAGCATTTATTTTAGGCCGTACAGGTCATAAGAATGACATAAACAGATTTGGGGACAATCGATCCTCAACTAGGAAAGGCGGCAATACATATCTATTGTCTTTTTAGGGGAAAGTCGATCCTCAACTGGGAAGGCAAGCAGGCAATATAGTTTATAGAACCGAAGCAATAACATTTTGCATAGAAGAATCAATTAATATCTAATCAATGATATACATACATAGAGGAAGTCATTTGGGGCAGCAGAAATAGCCCATTCATTGCCACTTGCATTGCCAGTTTTGCGAGCATTCAATCCAGCTGACAACCAGTTCGAGTATCTACATCAATAAACGATTGGTATATCTTGAATGTCAGCATGTCTTCAGGCCAAAATCTTAAATCACAAAAATACAAAACATCAAATTTCTTGTAGTATAAAAGCAAACTACCTTGAAAGAAGTTGCAGAAATAAGCGTAAAAACTTGTCAGAGCAAGAAAGGACAAGAACATCATCTCTCCAGCATGATCTCAAGCAATCCATAAGAGAAATACTTTGCTTCAATGCTAAGCTTTGAGAATATTCCTGATTGGAGGAGTTCTGAGAGCGTAAAAGTGTAGTAGTCATAAGTGCAGAATCCAGAGCACCGGCTATTTCTTGGAACCTGAGGTAATGAATCAACAGCTCCATCTTCAAATTGATATATTTTCTCTTTTGTTTTCAGTTTTATTACCTTCCCAGCATTGGGGAAACCAAAACATAATAAACTATGATGCATATATACCTCAATGAGAAATAAACCCCAGTATTCCATTGCTTCATGAAATCTATATAGACTGTCTCTTCCCGTAATTTAGCGACAGCAGATCGAGAGGGACAGTAACCTTGAAAACAACAAAGTCCATGAGCAAAAAGTGTTGCAGAGAACAGAAAGTACGAGCACATAAAGAGTTAACAGGTTTCTCAAACCACCTTCTAGATAATCCAAGAAACCTAAGCTTGACTTATAGTTTTTGAGGAACTCCACGGGCCTTCCAGGAGAGAAAGCCCCTGGTTTTCCTTTCTGGATGGCTGATAAGACCTCTTTCAGAATAGAATTCGCCAGGAAGCTAAAAACATGCAGACCTGAATTTTCTGCATAATTCAAACAGTAAAACAATCAGCACATATGCAAGTTATATTAATACCAGGAATAGACAACTGGCTAGCATCAAAGATATAAAAGTGTACAATGCATTCACACACTGGCCACTGCACAAAGTTCACATAGATACCAGAATAATAAAAGTGAAAAGCATGTACAAGACAAACAATTAACTCAGAGCTACTCAAGTTCAACCATGTGATTTAGCAAAAAGTTAACAATGACAAAATAGTTAAACAGATGATTGCAAGTTGATTAACTCAGTTCAGCAAGATAATTCCAGGACAACTACATTGGAATATTACTTCACTTTTTAACTAAATAATAAGCACACACCTGTAAAAGATATTTCCAATAAAAATTTGCAATCATCTTCAATGTGTTGCTTGATTCTTTCATAGTCTTGCTCAAGCTCATCTCCGGATGACCCATTAACTGATCCTGTCGAGCCATGAGAGATAATTTTCTGTATGAACGGTGCAACAACCGCTGAACGAAAAATTTCCTCAGCACTACTGGTTTTATCAATAGCAGCATATGCACGTAAGCAATTGTATATTGCATTTTCATCCCGGTGCTCCAACCCATCAGCAAAACAGAGCCCCAAGCTTGAATCCAGTAACAAGCTAGCATTTTGAATCCTCTTTACCATGTTCTCAACAAAGGGCATGTTCTGTACTGCCATCATAGAAAGAGAATCATGATTAATATTCCAGAAGTTCACTTATACGTAGAAGCATATTATGTCAGGGATGTATCCTTGAAAGAAATTATGCCTTCATTTGTACAAAAAGCATATTAGAAAAGTCCACATAGTGTTTTTTTTTTTACTTTAGCTCATTTTATGTGAAGTTTTACTTTTTTATTTTCTTTTAATTTACATAGAATATCTATGGTTCATAAACTGTTGTGATTCTTGAACATTATAACTGCGATATACAGTTTTAATTTATAAAATGCATCAGTGCTTCTAAGGCTTATGTTTCAAATATAAGGTGACTGAACGACAGGAAATCCCAATGCATCCAGACAATCTTGGTTCTAAATAGTTTTTTTTACCATGAATGTGGTGATAACTCAAACACACTTCAGTTGATCCAGTTACAGCAACAAGAAGTACTAGAAAAATACTTGGGCTTCTGTGCAGTTGAGGTCCAGAAGTGAAAGGTTATCATTGGTTTTTATGGAGATTACTACTCGGTAATTCCTTAAAGTTCAAATACATCATCTACACTCATTGAAGTAGTCAATCAAATGTCATAAATGGCAACTGAATTATCTAAGAAATGTATACACCAAGCTCTTATGTTATCCACTTAAATGCCAAAGCGCTTTCCATGGCTATTAAACCCTATTGGTTTAATAATTAGACTATTTAGATCTAAATCAAGAAACAAGAGCTACAAAAAATGCAACCGCAGATGTACCCTAAGTACAAGATTCTCTGAACAGATTGTGTGACCTTAAAATCTACTAGATCAATCTTCTTTTGACTGGAAATTCCGTTTCTCTTGAATCATAATCATTTCATAACCTAACGGCACAAATGTAGCTCCCCATACATATCCATGAAAATAGAAACTTTACATTTTGAGCATCGAAGCGCTAAGCTTTCCCTGCATTGAGTATTCATCAGTCGTCACACGAAAACGATGCGACGGTGAAGAAATGAAATTATTTATGGTTAAAAGATATTTGTTCTATATGAAATCCCATTGGTTAACAAGCCCTACAGAAAAATGGAAGAGGGTGGGTGGGGAGGCGTGTTAATGCACATGTTTGCAAAAGCAATCACAAATGCAAGCACAAAGCCAAGAGATGGAGTGAGTTGTCGAATCCATTTTGGTATGTCAGCAAGATTACATTTATCCATAAAAAAATAGATATCTGCTTCTGCTGCAAGCATGTCAGAGATGTAAATTTGAAGGAAGCAATAACGAGTTCTGTGAGAGGCATCAAAATTGCTAGAAGTCGTTTAATCATTAGTATCAAAGAATTTGGAAGACAACTGTCAGAAATTTTCCATACGTCACTCAAAAATTAGATTAAAGATAGAATAAAAATTATAGAGTTAGAAGTTGCAGAACAAATACGGATAATGAAATCTTATACTATTTTTTCATCGTGCAGGAAAAAAGGTAACAGGTTATATAATAATAAATATGAAAAGCCTTTCTACGAGAATGGAGCTAGATAGACCTGTGCATGAGTAATATAGAACTTTAGCCGATTCATTTCACTAGCAATTCTCTCCAGAAGCATGCTTTGTGTCTCCCTGAGGCTAGTTCCATTTTCAGAATGTTGAAAGGAAATACCATTGCTTAGTTGACCTTTCTCAGTAGAACTCATGGCTCCACTGGACCAATCAGCTGGAACACTAGGCAGCTCCTTTATCAATTTTTCGACCTGAAAAACATAATATGAACTTTGATCAAACATAAGCAATACAGCAATGGAGTAACAAGAGGCAAATATACTGCAGAGCAAAACCACACGTAAATCAAATTAGTTAATTTCCTACTATTCACATAGTTCCAGACAAGCCTCGACTAAGATGACATGTGTCGGGAAGTAGAAGAAAACTGCAACAACTAAACAAAGGATTAATTAATAAGCTCCAGATGCGTTTGAGACACTAAATCTTACAGCTATCTCTATGGAAGAACTCAACAGCAAAATGAGCACACACACACACATTAAGGCAATAAATAAATATAAACTGGAAACAATTAGTCTGTAAGTGATTGAGTATAAAGTCCAATATTTCGCTTATTCAAACAATCTCAACATAAAAGAAAAACCATGACATGCATGTGAATCGTATCAAGAATAATTGCGGGGAGTGGTTTTCCCTACAGTTTGGAGATAATATGTTTCAGTTTTACTATGATCCTTTTAGTTTCCTTGTCAGCAGATTTAGTGCTCTTAAATTTGCCAGCAAACGACTAGAACAACAAGTTCCTAGTGAAAATAGGTATTACCAATACCCATCAGAGAAATGTATTGAACTATGAATAATTCGTCATTGATGGCCATATTTCTCACATCAGCCGGGCACACTCCATCCACTATATTATAGACTACGTATTCAAGACATAATTTTTTGTCAAAGTATCTTTAACTGTTCCAAACTGTATTCAGTTAGAAAGCCTACGACCCCTACTTATCACCTTATTATTATTATAGAGCAACTATTGCAAGATCCCATAGACCAGTCAAATGTTAATGCTTCAGTAGACAGCCAAAATGAGCTGTCTGCAAGGATTATAACTATTTGTATCATGGAGCTCCCTTAGTTTTCTGATACTTAGAGCCCAACTTCATAGTCATCTAAGTACATAACTAGCATCATTTTAAAACTACAGGTGACCTCATATTGTTTCACCTGCCTCATTAGTTGCATTACAATAGAGATATTACTACACCGACGAATCACCAAAAACCGATTTCATAGTAAACTAAAAAAGTTGTTTTGCGTACAATGATAGTAGTGTAAAACAGTTTCTCTAGTTAAACAGAACATGTCAAATGCAAACTTGAGCAATGTCGGCCCTTCCATATAGACTTACTTTATCTATCTCCCTGACTTATGACTCGTAGCCTGAACAATACCCTAGCAGTGTAGAAAAACTAAAAAGTAATATGACTGACAAGTGACAAGGAAAAAATCCATTTCCTCGAGATCCAAACACTAGTAAACATGCACGATCACACCCGTACAAACGCATCACGTGACATTCAAAACTCCGACCACAAAAAATGAAAGATCCAATTTTTCACATTAACTTAATTGTTGCTAGCAAAATTGAATGAATTGAGATAAGTACATCACAGCAGATGGATGAAGAAATTAAGAACAATCCTAATTAAATTAAGCAAAACGTGTTTTCCCCCCCTGCATTGCCAGTATGAATCTAAATTGAAACGAACCAGTAAGATATACCTTAGAAACGACATGAAAAGTGTCGAGCAGCAACTCCAACACCTCCCTCGCCTCATTGGCCTGAGATCGCTGCTTCAGCCGGCTCTGCAGCGCCGCCAGCGAGATGTCAACCGAGCCGCGAAAATCCAAGATCTTCTCCTTGATCTCGAGAAGCGGGGCCCTCATGCGCACCACCGCGGCCTCGACGTCGACGAGCTTCGTACTGAGGCTGACGAAATCGACGTAGTCGCGGTTGATTAGCTCAACCAGCTCGTGTTTGAGGGCGCCTAAATGAGATCGGAGCTCCGAGCGCAGGGTGTCGAAGGGGACGAAGGTGCGGAGATCTGAGATGTACGATTCCGGGTCGAATTCGGCGTCGGTGAACTTCGACGGGTTGAGCCATAACGGATGCGAATCCTCAATCGGGTCGCCGAATAAATCCGTCGCCGATTTGGGCAACGGAGAGTGCAGATCTGTGGCCATTGTTGAGAAAATGTAATGCAGAAGAAATTAACTGGGATTTAGGAAAGGGCTTTTATTGGAGAATTTTGCAGGAATTCTTATTAGTACTGTGATTTTTTTCTTTTTTTTTTTCTATTTCATTTTAGTCATTATTAATTAATTTGATTTTTTATTTTTATTTTTTGTTATTTTAATATACATGTACATAAATAAATTTATAAGAAAATGTAATGAATTAAACTAGCAAAATTATTACACAAATGTACTTCACCATCACTATATCTCCTAATGGATTTTTTAATACAAGACTATAAGTTGTTAAACATCTTATAACAGTTATAAGACAGCTTATCAAGCTAATCAAACACTCTCTTAGAGCTCGTTTGGTTAAGTTTATTTAAAACATCTTATAAACTCCTACATCTGATAAGATATTTTAGGAGTTGATAAGCTGATAAGCTGTTAAATATTATTTTTAAAATTAATTTTTAAGGTATTTGAATATGTAGCTTATAAGTTATTTTTAATTTTTATAAGTTGTTCAAGTGTTTGAAAATAAAAGATCTGTTTATCGCTATAATGACAAAAAAAATACATGCCATTACACTGTTAAAATATTATTATAATGACAAAAAAATTCCTAAAAACTATTATAATATTTACAAATTAAATTTTCAAATAAAAATTATAATATAAATTATATATTAAATAAACAAAATAATTTTTTTATGTATGTTGATATGATATTTGACTATTTAAAAAATAAATAAAGTGTAATAAAAATATTTTAATGAAACAGGTTCGTGAAAGTTTTAATTTTTTGTCCCATTAATATATTAATATAAAATAAATGTTGAAAAGAAATATAATTTATTATTTAGATAGTAAGAATATTCGGGTATTTTTATATACATATAAAATATATATAGAGAATATTTTTCTTTTACAATTATTATGATAATTATATTTTAACTAATTATTAATCTTGATTACAACAATACGTTGTTTTGATAAAATATAAATGTTATTAGTATTCCTGTAATATAATAAAGTATTTGAGGGTAATTTTGAATTTTGAGTATTTTAGTAAAGAAGCAAATACGATCTTAAAGAAAAAATGTGGGATGGGGATATTTTTTTAAAAACATCTTATAAGCTCCCTAACAACTTATTTTTGGAAAAAATAAGATCTTTTATATTTTTTTACCAAACGCTTTTTAACAGCTTATAAACTCTTAAACATCTTATAAGATATTTTTAGGAGCTTATAAACTTAGAGCCCGTTTGGCTAAGCTTATTTAAAACATCTTATAAGCTCCTACATCTGATAAGATGTTTTAGGAGCTGATAATCTGTTAGATCTTATTTTAAAAAATATTTTTTAAGGTGTTTGGATATGTAGCTTATAAGTTACTTTTTGTTTTTATAAGTTGTTCAGATGTTTGAAAATAAAATGTCTGTTTACTGCTATAATGACAAAAAAGTACATGACGCGATTATAATTGTTAAACTTATTTGACTCAAATACTTTTGTTCCTAAATATTATTATAATATTTACAAATTATTTTTAAAATAATAATAATATTAATATAAAATTATATATTAATATAAAATAAAAGTTGTAAAAGAAATATAATTTTTTTTATAGATGAAAAAATATAATTTATTATTGAGATAATAAGAATATTCGGGTATTTTCATATACATATAAAATATAAATAGAGAATAATTTTTTTTACAATTATTATGGTAATTACGATAATTATATATAACTAATTATTAATCTTAATTACAAGAATACGTTGTTTTGATAAAATATAAATATTATTTCATGTAATATAATAAAGTATTTGAGGGCAATTTTGTATTTTGAGTGTTTTAGTAAAGAAGCAAATAAGATCTTAAAGAAAAAAAGGTAGGGTGGAGGTACTTTTATAAAAACATCTTTTAAGCTCCCTAACAGCTTATTTTAGGAATAAATAAGATCTTTTGCAATTTTTTTACCAAACACCTTTTAACAGCTTATAAGCTCTTAAACATCTTATAAGATGTTTTTAGGAGTTTATAAGCTTAGCCAAACAGGCTCTTAGCCAACAAGCTCTTAATTTCATAAAGAGGCAGGTTACTAATTTAATGAAATATGAGCATTTAATTACGCCATTTGACTTTTGAAGAATTGGAATAAGTACGAATGTTGTTAACTCAAGGTCTTACTAATCTCTATTATTTAACCAATGGGCCATAATGGTGGTGACGGAATTAGACAGTATCTTAATAATAGTAAAAGAATGAGGCTTTAATATTCTATGAAATAAAAAAATAAATCAACAATTACCATGCATACCTCTTCTTTAATCGGATGTTTAGATCACCTGGGGATCAAGTCGGAACAATTTTAGGATTCTAACGATTTTGATTCGAAATTATTCGACTTTGCTGTAAATATTTTAATATTTCAATTTTTTATTGGAATTGAAATTATATATACACGTGAACAAAATATCCTACTTATTTGGAAATTTTAGAATTATGACAATTTTTTATACTCTGAATTTGCATCTTCATAGATATCCCACTTATTTACAAGGGTCGTCAGGGTATTTCTTAAAATAAATGAAATTTGGCAGGAAAATTGACTTTGGGGGATGATACTGAAGTAAATTAAAACCACAGGGACGATTTTGCTTTTGGCTGCAAAGGTCATGGACTAAAATTAATTTTACCTCCTATTTTGTTAGGTGGTGGTGGAGGTGCATTGTTGTTAAACACAGTGGGTTGTTTTCGCCGGCGGAGGAAGGTTGTTGTTGAGCGGAGGGCAAGCCATCCACCCCTAGGAGAGGTGGTGGAGAGTTCCTATATGGTTGTTTTGCGGTTGAGGTGGATATTCCGTGATTGTCCTGATCACCTTGTTTACCTTGCAATATGATTTGCATTCCTACATGCAGCATCAAAATGATGTTGCATCACTCACATTAGGTAAATTAAACGGAGATGGGATGGGAATGCATGGATGAGTCTCTGCACGCGGATAGATGATTTGATCAAGTAGGACGAACACTTGAGTCACAAACCTATAAAATTAGAACACTTAAGTCAAGGGTTTATCAGGCGGAAACCCCTTCGACGCCCAAATCAGATGCTTGGACAGACGAGAAAGGTGAAAGCCAAACTTAATAGCACTCAAGAGATTTGTTGGAATTTCTTTTTCTACAATTAGCCTGAGTCATATTTATACTTAATTAACGATAAGATTCTAATTAAAATATAACTCTAATTTAAGCCTTAAAAGAATATAATATGCCTAAATGCTTGTCTTAGTGACTTGAGTCATTATATTAATTTATTTAAGTTTTGGTAATTCATTTGCGTGCTCATAGATGTGGATAATTAATGGGTCCATTCGAGGCCCAATTAGGCGAATCACTAATGTTTTACAGACGACACGTTTTAACAAACATATTTTCACGAAACTGAGTGATCAATATGATTTCCACAAATAACTAAAAAAATCTTAAATATCGTTTCAATTTTACTAATAGCGTTTTAACTTCGAATCTGATTTTAATATATTTCTAGTCTAATTTTGGCAAAATTCAAAATGCAAAACTTGTAGTCATTTGAGTTAGCATTATAATCCAACTTAAATCAGCTAAACTAGATCTTGTGTCACAAATTTATACATGAATGATTCACATTTTGAATTTTGGATAACTCAGAACATCAAAGTTGTGGGCAATATTTATTGATTCATGTATATTTTTCTCATTCGACATCCAATTCTGGTGATTCAAGTTGGATTAGAAAGTTTACCCAAAAAACTACAATTTTTTTGTTTTGAGTTTTTCAAAAATAAAATGATCAGATTATTTTAAAGTTGAAACAATATTATTAAAGCTTGAACGATATTTATACATCACTTAAAATAATTTTATATAAAGTGCACTGTCAAAATGATGGGCTTTTTAGGGTCTCTCACGTGCCAATAATATATGTGGGCTTTTTATGGTGAAAGAAGTTGATTGCTCTTTTTGCCAGCAAGCTAATAAGACCTACCACGCATAAAGGCGAAGAAAGCCCACTTTTACATTAATAAAAAAATAAATAAAAATAGCCCAAACCAAAACACACGCAGTGCACGTGACTTTGTAATAATTTTTCTTTTTCTTTTTCTTTTGAGATGAGATTTGTAAAAATATTTAAAACTGAAATGTTATTTGCAGTGGAGTGTAATTTAGGGGAAAAAATCGGAATTTTTGGAAATTAAAAATTGAAATAGAAATTGGCCATCTCACACATATACCAATTCCGATCCAACAAAATTCGAAAAAATCGAAATGGGAATGAAAAATACTGTTCCATAATCGAAAATAATTTCAGATCGAAATCGACGAAAATCGATCAGAAATTCAGATCGTATTTCCACTCCTAAGAATAGGGGTGTGAACGAGCCGAGCTAGCCAGAATTTCCAGGCTCAAGCTTAAGCACGTGTCTAATTTTGCAACCTCGAGCTCGAGCTCATCGAGCTTTTATTTTCTAGGCTCAAGCTCAAGGTCAAGTGGATTCATCGAGCTCGAGCTCAGCTCATTTTGTTAATTATTATTTTATGTATTAATATAACTTTATTTTAGCTTGTCCGAAGCTCGAGCTTTTATTGAGTTTGGCTCATCAAGTTCACGAGGCGGCTCAACTCATTTACCACCCCTACATAAGAGTACTCGTCATTTAACCCCACAAGCAGAAATAGCATCACTTTTGTGCTGAAATAATAATAATAATAATAATAATAATAATAATAATAATAATAATAATAATAATAATAATAATAATAATAATAAGAATAATAATAATAATAATTAAAACCATCACTTTCTTACCTTGATGTAACTAACAAAAGGCAGTGAAAAAAAAATAAAATAAAATATAGTCCAAGATCCATTCATAGGATCATGGTACTCATGATGTTAGCATTTGTTGGTCCCCAGTTCCTTTTTTGCATGGGAAAATAGACATTTTTTAAAATTAACCCTCTTATTTATTTATTTATTTATTTTTATTTACTTATATATATGGGTCTTATTTTTCCAAACTCAAAACAATACAAAATCCCCCTACCACTTATTTTCTTCCTCTTTTTTTTTTTTTTCTCAAATGTCCCAATATTATTATTCTTCAATGGAAGAAAATCACCACAAAGAAATAATGCAGCTACTTTCTTGCACTAATACAACTAATCCACACTCACACACTGCACCTTCTCCTTCTTCATTATCACAGCCTCCGACGTCTTTCGACGGCCCGTCGCTCGACCTTCAACTTTCGATAAGCGTGGGCCCGCTCAAGCCGCCCCCGCCTCATCAAGAACGCGTCTTGGTAAGGAAAGTTCGAAGGAACAACAACAACAAGATGGATTATTCTTCGGGCGGTGGCAGTGGGGTGGAGTATCTGAAATGGCAGGCGGCGGAGCAGATTCGGCTGGCGGCGATGGAGAAAGCATACGCGGAGCGCGTGAGGGAGATGACTAGGAGAGAGATGGAGATAGCGCAGTCGGAGTTTGCGCGCGCGCACAATATGTGGGAGAGGGCTCGGGAGGAAGTCGAAAGGGCCGAGAGAATGAAGGAAAGAGCCACTACTAGTACTCTCAAGATTGATTCTTCTTGCATGGAGATCACTTGTCTTTCTTGCAGCCAGAATTTTAGACCTTAAATATATATATATATATATGCTAACTTATAAATTAATATGGCTTTTATTTTTATTTTTTTTAATTAAAAAAATTAAGTTGGGGTTTATGGAATACTCGATGATTCTTCTTGATTAAAAGAAAAAATAAATAATATTGGGTTGAAGTTGTATTATAATTTATATTTTATACAAGTTCGTTGGAATTTTTTTTTTATTTTTTTTGTAATTTTTTTTAATGTTTGTTTAGTTTTAAGGTTGATGTAATGATGATTTTAATTATTCTAGGAAGATCAATTGTGTTAGTTTCCTTTGTAATGAGAAGCATATTTTGAAGTAGTTGAGGTTGTGTGTATGTGTGTGTGTATGAATGCATGATGAGGCTAATAATGCAGCACATGCATTTCTTTTTTATGCAATAATAAATAAATAAATAAATAAATAAAATTTTATTGTTTTTTTTTCAGAACCATGATTGAACATATATCATATGAACTGAAAAGGGTATGTAGTTAATTTCACTATTTTTCCAATATATTTTGTCTCACAAATAATTAATATATGATGGTGATATTCACTCCTTTCTTACATCAAGAAACAGTATAATCCTTAAAAAAAAGAAAAAGGGTAAATCCGTAATTTCACAAGAGTTCTTGATCTGTAACATTTTATATCCATTAACTGCAAAATTCGAAACTGTAGAGAAGAGTACTGCATGCCACTTTTCACACTGGTCCCTTATTTGTAATTTTGATCTTTCTTTAATTAGGATTACAGGTACACATCTTTAAACCGTACAGTGAAACGTTCCCGAAAAAAAAAAAAAGAAAAACGAGATACCGGCCATTTACGAATTGTCTTCGTTTCCGTCGTCTTTCGCTTATTCGCATGTAAATGCCATGAAGTAACTAATACATATTAGGGTTTTAAGTGTGTTCTAACCTAATCTTTTCATTTTTTTTTAATTTTAAATTTTGGACAAATTAATATGGCTGTAATAATTGCAAATGAAACACAACAAAAAAGTAAAAAACAAATCCATTAATAAAAATACAATTTATTTTTGTATTTTAATTTGTTAACTTTAGTACACTCAAAAACCAAACACCCACTACCTATGTCTGGTGATCTTACAGTACAGGAGGAAACAAATTTTGGATAAGTGATGAGTTAGTCTTTGCAAATTAAAGCAGCCCATTTGACATGTTTTTCGAAGATTCCGTGTTTTTCGTTCGAGTAAATTTAAATTTTCGATAAAAAAATATATTCGATCGGAAAATTAGTGAAGATGTTAGGTAAAGTTTGTTCCAGAATTACAAACTATGAAAAAAAACCTAAATTTTTGGTCTCACTTTGGTATGATTTTCTTTATTAGTGGGGATGAAATTATGTAATCATATGTTATCTTTTTAAAAGGTAACCTACTTTTGCAAGTAGTCGCATACCTGCCGACTGAAGCTGTAACGGAATTTTTGAATTCTGTCGATTTCGATCTGAATGTTTCTGATTTTGAATCAATATTTCTCATTTCGAGTTCTGAAAGTTCTAGTTTATGATTTTCTTGATTTTTTTTGGAATGGAGTTGGAATGCATATTATATTTTGAATTATGATTCGATTTTAATTTCTGAAATATTTAAGTGGCACCCAATAATCTAGGGTCGATTCCGGTAATTAGATGGCTTACACGTTGTACCCGGTGTAACACACACACACACACACACACACACACACATACACACATATTTACTATGTGCTGATTGAAACTGTAATGGAACTTTCGAATTCCGCCGATTTCGATTTGAAATGTTTCTAATTTTGGATCAATATTTTTCATTTTGAATTCGAAAGTTCCAATTTCTGACTTTCTCGAAATTGTTTTGGAACTACAGTTAAACCTCTATAAATTAATACAGTCGGGGATGACAAAATTCTATTAATTTAGCGAAATATTAAATTATCGAAATAATAATTTAATATTTTTTTACCGAGCCAGGACCAGACAAAATTATTAATTAAGCGAGGTTATTAATTTAGCGAGTATTAATTTATAGAGGTTCTACTGTAAATTGAAATACTTATTAGATTTAGAATTCTGATCCGGTTTTAATTTCCAAAAATATTTAGATGGCACCAATAATCTAGGGTCAATTCAGGTAATTAGATGGCTTACACGTTGTCCCTGTGTAACACACACTCACATATATGCTGACTGAAACTGGAACTTTCGAAGTCCACCGATTTCGATTTCAATGTTTCTGATTTTGGATCAATACTTTTCATTTCGAATTCCGAAAGTTCCGATTTTTGATTTTCTCGATTATTTTTTGAACTTGAACTAGAGAATACATATTAAATTTTGAACTTCGATCCGATTTTAATTTCGAAAAGAAATGAGCAACAAGGTATGGGAACAAAAAGAGGCTACTACTCCTAACAATTATTCAATTGTTTGTGCACAGACAACTTGTCAAATTTTTTGAAGTTTTTTTACTGAATGCTCAACCAAATGCAGAATCTCATATAAAATAATATTGTCTTTTACCCATTCACAACTTTGTTTTTTTTACCATTCAATTAATATACACAATCAAAACAAAATTTACCGTAATAATTAACCAAAAAATAAAATATAAAAAAATAAAAAAATAAAAAATGAAAAATGAAAAATGAAAAATGAAAAATGAAAAATGAAAAATGAAAAATGACAGATTAATTTAATTAACACCAGGTATTATCATATATGTCATGATGGTAAGTAGACCAAAATATAATGGGACAACAGCTTTTTGTTCACCACTTATTCTTGATTGTGAACAAACAGCCAATTCCAATAATAATAATAATAATAATAATAATAATAATAATAATAATAATAATAATAATAATAATACTAATAATAATAAAAATAAAAATCAAGAATTTTGACAAAAAACTACATACAAGAGAAAGAAAAAAAAAAGATGTAGGGCCATGATCTTGTGTGATCATCAACACAGTAATTATGACAAATCCTTAACATTTTTTTTGTCTTATCAAATTGTCAACAAGCATCCTACTGTAATCTTTACATAATTCAAATGACTTATATCCACAGGTTTATAATATTATTATTATTTATTAATGATTGATCAATATTCCTCTTAATTATTACTGTGAATATTTACGAAGGTTTCGTATTTATGAAGCGTTATCGAACTCGAGTTCGATTGTTTAGTCTAAGCGGTACTAAATACGAAAAATAGCAGGGAGATTATTAAGTTAACTTGGAGATGATTGATTAATTTGAGTTTATTTTATTTATTTTTTATTAATTTTTATTTTTTTGAATTAGTGCAAAAGAACATGGAAGCATCACTTTATGAAGGTGGGCAAAAGTTTTTCTTTTTTTTTTTTTTCATTTTTTTGTGGGACTCAAAACTGACAACATGGAAATGTGGATAACACCATTGCATTGCATTTCACTTCATTGGAAAAATAAGCAAGAGAGAGAGAGAGAGAGAGAGAGAGAGAGAGAGAGAGAGAGAGAGAGAGAGAGAGAGAGTGTTTATGGAGTGGGGGGAAGATTGCTTTATCATTGGCAGCAAGAAAGTCGAAAACATAAAGTGGTTCATAATTGATTCTGCACGAATCGAGCTCGAGCAGAACTTTAATTTTTGTACATATTTTATTATTATTAATTTTTTTTTCTAATTGAGCTACTCGAGCGAGTAGAATATCTTCAAGTTTCGTTCATTATATTAACAAACTAAGCTCAAACGAGATTTAAACGAACGATCTCAAATCATGTATCGAGTAACGCTTGGTTTATTTTCGGCCGTACTACCGAACACTCAATTACAAGAAGAAAATTTATGGTCCATTAAACTTAGGCCCTCCATTAAGAAAAAAAGAAGATATATATATATATATATTTCATGAAAAGTTAACATCAAACCTCAATTAGTCGTCCACCGAAATAATCCAACCAGCTAACAAATTGACCCTTCTCTTTTTACTTTTTATGTATCGATCTATGAAATCGAGTATCCATCGTATTCAAACATAAAGAAGAAAGCTAAGTATTTTTCGATTAGTCGAGATTTGTGATTCCTCGGTGTTTTCTCGATTTGTGTAGGGTATACAAGGTTCAGTGACAACATATAAGCCATTGAGGAATTGACTGCCATCTTCTTTAACAGGTCTAATAAAACCATTTTCATCTTGTCCACATAGAAAATTTATTGACAAAAATATCATATTATCGAATTTGAGGCAAAGGGGAACCGTATAAATTAAAACACGTTTAACTTTCATGTTTGTAGTTTCATTTTCTAGACAATAATATTCGTCTCACACATCGATGATCTTAAGGAACCATATATGGTCATTCCTTAAGATTTCTAAGACATTTAACGGTTTGGACAAGGAGGTTTGGAGTAGGGAATCTCGGGAGCAAGATTTCGATTAATCCGTATATTAGACAGTATTAGCGTATATATTATACGTATATATTATTATTATTTGATCCAAGCCCAACTAAAGGAAACATGGATGGTCAGGGCTAACTTGGGCCCAGAAGGAAGGCCCAAGTAAGATTGAAGGGAAGTCCAATACCGAAAAAACCATAATAGACCGCAAATGATAAATTGCGGAGTGTAAAACCTACGAGATAGGCTGATGAGGTAATTCTAGGCCTGACGAAGTAAGCGTTACGTCGGGCTCTCGAAGGTCGTGCAGGGACAATTCTGAAAAGTAGAAGAGGGGTGTCAGGCTTGAACTGACCGAAGAACAGTAAAAATGACCAATAAGAACTTGCCACGTGGCAGACTAGACAGGATGACGGCTTTTGTACCTAGGAAATGTAAACAAGCCCAGAAGGGCCATATTGTATTAGTATATATACTAGGTCATAAGTAGTGAAGGAGGACGATTTTTTCTGGGATAAAAGGGAATCCAATAAATTGGGCCACTCATATACAGATTATCTTATGCACATTATCAATTAATTGGACCACTCATATTGTTTAATAATCTCTCTTATTTACACTATTTAGTGATCTCATACACATACAAGGTATGAATATTCAAACCCATGACAAAATCTAGTAATCTATTGGATAAAACAAAAAGGGGAAACTTATATTATTGTATGTGGCTAAACTTGGCATATCATTATTATTTATTATAGTTACCTTGTGTAATAGGTTACCTTGTGTAATAGGTTAGGGTTTCCTACATACCTATATACAATGTTGTAAAAAGCGGTAATCGGGTCCGAGTCGGTCAGGCACCGATTCACGATTAATCGGCGCGGCGGTGATTAATCGGTGATAAATCGTAAATAAATCGGTTTTTAAAATTTAACATAATATATCTCTAGATATTATTTATAAATACTCGAAACATATATAAAAAGATATTTAAACATAGTTATATCTTCATCATGTATATACTCTTAATAACATAATAAAAGTTTAATAATTATAAAATTATAATACATAAATATCCTTATAAAATATAAATAAAAAAACAATTTTTTTGAATTTACATTTATTCTTGAACATTTCTGGCATACATCATTAGTTCTTTAACAAAATTAACATAAACAAAATAAGGCATAAACTCATATTTTCTTTTATTAAAATCCCAAGTTTTATTTTGAATTAAAAAAAAAAAAACCGATTTTTGCCACCGAGTTTGACCCGCCTTAAAGGTTTGACCGCCTCAGACCGCCTCGGACCGCATCAGACCGCCTAAAACCGTCTCACAGGCAAAAAACCGATTTTTCAAACCTTTACACTAAAATCGTAAAGGTTTTGGACCGCCTCCGCCTCGGAGACCGATTAATCGGCCGCCTCGGCCGATTTTAGAACGCTGCCTATATATATGATTAGTATACGTGAGAGACATAATTCTCTCTTTCTCCAATTCTATTTCTCCTATATAGTATCAGACACTAGGTTAACCTAGCCGTCACCACCACCCTTCTCTTCTCAGCCGTCCGACGACGCTTCTTCTCCCTCCACCACCCCTCTCAATCCTTTCCACCTTGCTCATGCCATCTCCAATATCAAATCTCTTATCCCCGTTACTCTAAATATGAAAAATCCCAACTATCAAAAGTGGAGCCACTTTTTCATAATTACCGTCGGTCGTTTCTGCCTCTCCGATCTTCTCCATGGAAAACCCCGACCGGATTCAATTTCCGCCGATGAATGGCAGCGCGCCGACTATCTCCTCCAATCTTGGAGCTACGGCACCATCTCCGATGATTTGTCCAGCATGGTTCTCTCAAAAACCTATATATATGATTAATATACGTGAGAGACATAATTCTCTCTTTCTCCAATTCTATTTCTCCTATAGACAGATTGGCGGTCGAGGAGTAGTGGAGCCTTTCGGGGAAAAACAAACACTACTTGAGCAAGATTCAATTGGATCTTGTACTCCTTTCAGATGAGACTCGCATCAACAACAACGAGCTCTGATATCGATGTTGGATACCCATATAAAGTAGATTACAAACTGAACATAGAACATTATTACAGCCTATCACCTTATGGGGTAGGATTCAGCGGATTACAAATCAACTAAAATGAAAAAAACAAGATATATGAAAGAAAGAACTTAAACAAAAAAGTTATGAACAACTCTTCAACAAATGAAGGGTGCTAAACTTTTTGTTTACTGCTTAGTTTTCAGTGTCACAATTCTCATCTAGAATCCACAGGCATTGGGATCAAAACTATTCCTGCACAGAGCACCAAAAGCCGAAAACCCTAAATTTGACAAAGTCACTCGGACCTTGATCTAACTCTCTCACCCATAATCCAGTAACCTTCCAGTGTTTGAACTCTCGTGTTTCTCTCACTAAGAGGTGAATTTCACTCACCAAAAAACGAAGATCTGAAGAAACCAGATTCAAAGTTCAAATTATAAGAAGGTATTTTTTTCTCTCTCTCAGAAACTCACACTAAGTAAAATATAATGGTCTCAAAAGGAGGCAGTTTAGGTACAACCATCATTATTGTCATCGAAAGTGTTGCTGGAAGCAAACACGAAAAATTGAATGCGGTTGTACGGCGAAAAATGAGAAAGAGAGAAGACAAAAAATTAGGACAAGAGAAAGAGAGGTGAAAGTTTAAATACCTCGATTGAACGGTGAGATCAATGGTCAGGATCAAAGGTGAAGAGCCTTATAATGGTTTGACCGAACTAATGGGCGTCGTTCAGGTGAAGATGATTAAATGGACTGGATATAACTTAATCCATTGTGTCTAAAAAGTTCAACAAGTCTCCACCTGAGACCAAGTCGATTATCAAGACATTTTAGACACGAATCATCGTTGCTGTTTTTAATATGTTTGAACACACACACTCATATCAAGCATATTTTGGCTTTTGGCAATCACAAAGAAAGCACGAAAATCACACATATACTGATTTTTCACACAAAAAAGGTATCCAATCAGTCACAAAAACTGCACACAACCAGAACCAATTTTCAAGTTCGACAAAATCTGTCCAATATTTTTAAACTAGAACACAAATTCTCAACATAAAGACATTTTGTGTCCATATCAGCTGGAATAAACTCAAATGGGATTTCCTCAAGACCAATTAATCATTTTCCCATAATATCTTGAGTACAACGAAATTACACATCAATATATTTTGTTCGTTCATGGAAAATATAATTTTTGAACGGCTAAATTCCAGATTAACTATCAAAAAAAGATTACAACCTTTTTTTTTTACCAATAAATTCAATTTTAGAAATCAAACCTTTTGTCAAGTTGTTTCTTTTAAAGCTTCTGTTGCAGCAATATACTCAGATTTAGTTTCCATTATATATACATATGTATATATATAAAATTAAGGTAGTGATGGACACACGCTTGATTCTGTTAGTTTTAACAGGAAATTGACGGAATTGATAAAAGTGTTGATTGAAGTTTTGAAATATAAGGACAAAATGTGTTATATGTGAACACATGGTGGCCAAATATTGAATATGTGCAAACTTGAGGGACGAAACTGTATTAATTTTATTTGGGAGTGCTGCTTGGTCTAAATCAATTCACCTCTGCATTTTTTGAAATATAAGCAGCAGCAAAAGCAGAGAGAGAGAGAATTGAATGGGAGATGGGAATCACAGTATGTGGGGGCATTTGCCCCTTCTAGTGAGAGCGAACTCCAAAGATTCCGTTGAGTACTTACTCCAAGCCCTCTGGCGCACCCGCCGCACCGGCCTTGACTCCGCCGACCGTCAAATTTTCCGTGATATCCTTCAACTCCCCACCGATTCCGACCTCGACCCTGTAAGTATATACATATATATATTTCTCTCTCCCGCTTGATTTAATGCCTGATTTATCTGTTTTTTAAGGAAGAAGTGAATTTCCCTATTTAGTTGCTAAATCATTGAGATTAATTTTCTAATTGATTGAATTTTGAAGAAGATTTTCATCAATTGCGTGCCCTAATTTTTTTTTTGGGAATGAACTTGTAACTTGCAGTGTTTGCTGCTGCAGTAATAGGCTAATAGCTCATTTCCTTAGGTCTCGTTTGGTTGGAGAGATTAGTCACGATTAACTAAATAATTGGATTTTGTTTGGTGTTCGGTATCTCCGATAACTTGTCGGGTCGACCCGCAAATGTTATGTTATCATGGCTTATCTTGCCTTTTAGGCATGTTTTTTTATTGGATCATCGAAGGTCCAATAATATAATTGAGTTTCGTTAGATTATTTAATCTTATCTTGGCAACCAAACGAGGCCTTAAATGCTAAATCGTAAAGGTATACGGGTACACAGTAGGACCATGTTCATAGTATACTATTGCGTTTTCTGTAACAAAAAAATAGATTAAGTGATTTGGAGAGAATGCATTGTTAGAAAGAAAATTACAATAATAAGATGAATATTGTATAGGAGGGATATTGCTAGTCGAATCGGTAACCAAGAAAATTTATCGGCTCTAGGAAAACTATGCCGATTTATACTAGAAGAGGTGTGTGGTGGTTGAGTGGCTGACGTGCTTCAAACGTTGTTGTAGCCAATGAAATCTTTAACAGAGTCATTAAGAGGTGTGAAGATATAATTTGTCCACCGTCAGTCATTTGTATTGACAGGGTAAAGCCGAATCTCGCGGGCTAATCATTTTGTAAACGTTGCACGATTGAGTAATTGGTGTACTGCCCTTTTTCCATAGGACTTTTAATAATTCTTTCAAGATTTTGTTTGAGTCAGTTAGCTTAGAAGACTACGCTTCCATCATTTTGGGAGCTTCGATATTAATTAATAGATTGAATATTCGAAGAATCAAAATTATTCGTTCTTGATGAGGAACACGACAGAAGGTTTCTATAAGTTTTCCCAAGTGGTCTTCCTGAAATAACCGCATACAAGTTTCAGTAACCAGAAATCGGGAACTGGTATAGATAAAATCTCCATCTTTCTTAATCCTCTCGAAGATTGAACCGGACATTGCTCCCGATATTGATGAAGGGTTTTCTTTCCCGGTTATGGTTATAGTCTTTTGTGACTACTTTATTCGTTATTGTTGAATTTCAAGAAAGTCGCCTTTGGTAAAGATTCTAAGTTTCTGGTAGTAGATCAGTTTTCTAAATAGAGGATGAAATTCATCTAAAATCGAAAATTAACCTTACAATTTTTTTATTTTTTTAAATAAATAAAAATAAAAACACAAACCACTTAACGAACTAGTTGTATGTTTAAAGAACCTTCCATATGTGTAGCTTTCAGCTTCCGACGAACGAAAGTAGGGCCCACTGGGGTGACATTCTACACTGATTGTGTTGTGTTTACTCGATGATAAATACCTAACAACGCAGCCCGGTTTTTGAATTGTCTAACATGACACTGTTTTATTGAAAGCCTTTGACAAATTACATGTTCGTGTGGGGCTTAAGATGGTGTATAATTATTATTTTTTTCTATTTTTTTTCTTTCAGTTATTAGTGTGCCTACGAGTGTTGATCCGAAGATGCGTTTATGACAATGTTAACAAAGACGAAATACATAAATTGTTCCCTTCCGAAGTCCTGCCTGAATTGCAAAGATTATTGACACTTCTACTCCAAAAGTTCCAAAGAGAGTGGCGAGAGGATATAGCAAATGACGAGGTGAGATACTTTTAAGTTTAGTGTAACGAAAGTAAACTGCAAATTATTCCAATGATAAATACCTTTAAAATAATTACGTGTCTTCATTCCGTTATTTATTTATTTTACCAACATAATTCTGTGTAGGTCATCTTGCCCCGTTTGAAATCAATGACATGGAACATGGCAAATCAGAATGTCGAACAGATGGAGCCTTCGGCTGTTATTAACTTGAAGGTACTTTGGCCTTTATCATGAGATATGCGTTAAAAAAAAACAAAAAAAAAACAAAAGGAGCTCGTTTGACTTGTGCAGCTTCAGAATGATGGTCAGACGAACTTGGGCGAAAGAGACGTGAAATTCCAGCTGGCGAAAGATACTATGGAGATGATGTTGAAGTCCATGTATTGTATAGAAGACCAGATGGCTGAACCTGTAAGTCTCTTCTTGCGTTGTGACTGCAGTTGCTCTCGTTTTTCATATTCCTATCCGACCGTGTTTTCTTTTTTCTTTTTCTCGTCAGGGTGAAACACAAGAGAGACACGTACGTAGTTCATAATTCTAACGTGGCTTAAAAGCAGCCAATGAGAAAGGTGAAGCGTAATTTATTAATTTGTTAGATAAATGTTTAAGGGGCGTTTATATGCAATTCGACACTGACAGTTTGGTTTCTATAATTTGTTTTCGTTCACTTTTGTTTTTACCTTGTGCAGTTTTTCCTTGTTTTTTTTTCGTTTACATTTGAGGTGCCTCAATTATACTTACGTGATCTGCCGATCGGTGTGGCGCTTCTTCGACCCTGCTTCCGATCTTTGGGAGATTCAGTAGTCGGTTTTTTGTGCTAAACTTTAATCCATTATGTTTAATGTTATTCTGGTGGCACTTGTTTCATATATATACTTCAGCTCAATAATTTTGCCTCTGTAAATTCCTTTGCTTGATTCTGCACTTTTGTTTCATATTTTTATTTTTTATTTTTTCATCTGTAATAGATTTTTTGTGTGTGTATATATATATATATATATATATATATATATATATATATATATATATATATATGTATTACTTGTTCACACAGTAGATGAATCAAATCAACATTATTTCATAATCAAAACTAGAAACTGAATTTTACAAAATAATTAAATTACTCGAACTCAATTTCAAAAATTTAATCAAAGTCTAAAAACTACAACTGTTGAATTCAAAAAATTCAATATTGGAGACATTTGATTAAAAAAATAAATTACAACGACATCTTGAGGTAAAGTCAATTTTATGAACCCCCCCCTCATGTTTAAGAAACTATATCCAGACCCCTGCAGTTTGTAAATTTCTTACATCCACCCCCTACAAAAGGGCGTTAATGTAATAAATTTACAAATTTCAAGGAGTATATGTAATTATAAAAAAGTGAAGCGTTGTTTCGCAAATAGACCTAACCTCAGGGGGACGGTTGTAATTTATCCTAAAATTAAATAGCAGAGTCAAACATTCCAAAGTCCAAAGCTGTAGTCGTACGCATACATACATATCTTGTTTATATAATAATAATTAATAAATTAATAAATTAATAATTAATTTCCAATCAATCCCCATTTCCTGACCCCCGGTGCCTAATGTATCAAATCAAGGCGGCCTAACCACCATCAGGATTGATTACACCCCCTAACCAAACACCCCCCCACCCCCCACACACGGCCTTTTACATTATCCCTATTCCGATTTTCTCCAATTCCCCAAATCAATTAATCAATCATATATCCGCAATTTTCAATCGAGAGAAAAAAAAAATGAACACTCGGAACATTTGAACTAATCGATTTCAATTCAACCTCTATCTCTCCCTCCCCTAAATCTCAAACCCTAATTCTTCAATCGATCGATCTACACACAGATACATCAACGGGGGGAGGAATTGATCGGAAACCGAAGATGGCGGCGACGTTCCAAGGCCAGGATAAGGTTTTGGCCACCGCGCAGCGGATCGTGCAGTCGCTCGGCAGCAACTCCTCCGACACGGAGGACATGCTGCTCATCCTTTCCGCCTTCGACAACCGCCTCTCCAACCTCTCTTCCTTCGTCTCCTCCGACGAGAATCCGTCCTCCTCCGCCGCCGCCGCCGATGCGGCGGCGGCGGCGGCCGAATCGCAGCCCCTGGATCCCCGATTCCTCGAGGCCGAGCGGGTCATTTTGAACGACGCCTATTCTACTGAGTATTCCGACGAGTACTTGCTGGCGGTTGACGAGATGATTCAGTTGACCGAGGAGTGCAACCTCAACGCTGTCGAAGCCGGCGATGGTGTCATGGATCGCGCCGTCGTCGCCCTGCAAATCGGTATGACTCGATTGGAGGAAGAGTTCCGCCACGTGCTGATCCAGAACACCGTCCCCCTCGACACCGACAGGCTCCACCGCTCCTCCCTCTCCTCCTCCGCCGCCGCTCTCGCGATTGCCGCCACTGAATTCTTCAACGATGATGCTAGCGAGAGTCTCGATGACCTGAGCAGCGGGCGGTACAGCCGTCACAGCCATGGCAGGGGTGTGAGCTTTGGTGGGGATGACATGTGCCTTGAATTGATCCACCCGGATGCTGTGATTGAGCTGAGGGAGATTGCGGATCGGATGATCCGATCTGGGTACGAAAAGGAATGCTGCCAGGTCTACTGTAATGTCCGCCGTGATGTTCTTGATGAATGTATGGCGATTCTTGGGGTGGAGAAATTGAGCATCGAGGAGGTTCAGAAGATTGACTGGCGGACCTTGGACGATAAGATGAAGAAATGGGTTCAAGCTCTTAAAGTAGTTGTCCGAGGTCTTTTGTCAAGTGAGAAACATTTATGCGAGCAGATTTTTGCTGGGTCTGATCTGATTAAAGAAGTTTGCTTTCTTGAAGCTTCGAAAGGTTGCGTGATGCAGTTGTTGAATTTCGGGGAGGCTGTTGCTATAGGGAAGAGGTCTGCGGAGAAATTGTTTCGGATTCTTGATATGTACGATGCATTGGATCAAGTTCTGCCGGATCTACAGGAGCTGTTTATGGACGAAGATGCTGGTGATATGGTGTGCAGTGAAGCCAAGGGATTGTTGGATGGGTTGGGTGATGCTGCTATCGGGACTTTCGTGGAGTTTGAGAGTGCAGTTCAAGGGGAGACTTCTAGGAAACCTTTACCTAATGGCGAGATTCATCCACTGGGTCGATATGTAATGAATTATACAAAATTGCTTGTGGATTATAGGGGGACTCTCAATTCACTTTTGGAGAATGTGGAGGCTGAGTCGGGCCAGCAAGCGAGGGAAAATACCGATAATAATGCTGATGTTGAAACCCTGTCCTTCATTGCTCGCCGTATGTCGGCATTGATTACATCTTTGGAGTCAAACATCGAGGAGAAATCGAAAATGTACGATGATGCTGCATTGCAGTATATATTCTTGATGAACAATATACTCTACATTGTGCAGAAAGTGAAGGACTCCGATCTGCGAAAACTCTTGGGTGATAACTGGGTTAAGAAACGCAGGGGGCTGGTTCGGCAGTACGCTACACAGTACCTAAGAGCATCGTGGAGCAAGGTCTTATCTTGTTTGAAGGATGAAGGAATTGGTGGGAGCTCAAGTAATGCATCAAAGGTGGCGTTGAAGGAGAGGTTTAAGAATTTCAACGCTTGTTTTGAAGATATTTACAGGATGCAGACAGCTTGGAAGGTTCCGGATCCTCAGCTCCGCGAAGAACTTAGGATATCCATTTCCGAAAAAGTGATTCCAGCTTATCGCTCGTTTTTGGGAAGGTTTGGAAGTCACCTGGAAAGTGGGAGGCATGCAGGAAAATACATAAAATACAATGGCGAGGATTTGGAGGGCTATTTGTTGGATCTGTTTGAAGGAACACCCCTTATTCTGCACCATCTAAGAAGGAAAAACTCCTAAAAGTTCACAAGACTCGGGTGACAGGTATGCTTTCTGGTTTTCATCGAGGAATAGTGCGAGACTTTGACTTTCAGCTTGGTGATGTATTTATGTCTGTCATGTTGGTTGGATGTGTGTTGAACGCAAATTTTGTGAAAGATATCCTCACCTTTTTATACTGTAATAAAATTTGTACATTCACCTTGTAATATGTGTGGTACTGAATATGTATCGTGTATTTCTTTCATGAATACCATTTAGAGTCGGACTGGATAGTAGCTTGGCATGATTTGTCCTTTTTTTTCGTTTCTGAAAGTTGCTCGACTCAGCTTCTTATAATCAATTGTATTACCGTGTAAGACTTTGACTTTTGTAGACTGGTCGTTTTTGGTGTATGAAATGTGGTTTTATCCTGAATTTTCCCAGCCTAGTAGGATAGTTTCGTTGTTTTTAGATTTTTCGGATTTTTATTGTGTATGGAGATGTATAAGTTGTATGCTTGTTTTGTGTTGAAGAGAAAGAAGAGGAGGAAGAGGAAGAGGAAGAGGAGATTTCTTTAGTCTGATCTGTTTGTCGTGCTATTTAGCGTATACCAAAGTCTGTCAAGTTGATTGTCTCCTTTTTTCGTTTCTCTTTTTTTCACTTGTGCACTACCGGGAGAAGTTGTTATGTCGTTTGTCCCATTTTTTATGCGAACGGCAACTACTCCAACTGCTGTTTGTTTGTGGAGAGTGGAGAAGAATATAACCTGTTTATCTTCAGTTCCTTAATGATTTCAAACGTTGGCTTCGATTGGCTGTTTGTTTTATTTTATGTAGAAACTTTCGGTCTTTCGGAATCTTCTAGTAATGGAATTTGATTCCTGGTAAGTAGCTAGTCGTGTGGGTACGAGAAATATCCAACTCTCCGCATATCAAATGGCTTATTTGCTTTTATGGTGATAAGGGTTCGATTTTGAGTATGCAGACTATTGCGCTATAACTCCAGTTTTAAGTATATCCTTTGAAAAAATATCTCATTCTCTCTCGATTCATCTTCCTATTTCATGTCTTCTTTTTGTTCGTATCGATGTCCAAGTGATAGGTATATCTCTCTCTGGAATCTTCAGCAATAGGGTATGTCTGTCTGAGATGCCATTTTTCTTCTACCTCTTCTAATTAACTCTCCAGCTAACTGAATTAGATCTCCAATTTTAAGGGAAAGTATATATAGTCGGTGGAATAGGGTTTTGGACAAGATATTGTTTTTCGTATATTATACTCCCTCAACCGTTTCACAATAACTGTCAAGAGAAATATTTTTGTTCCATATTATTTTTCACTTTGGTATTTCAATTCTGCATTTTTTTTTTCCTGTTTTACCCATATTTATTAAAATCTAATATTAATTCTCTCTATCATATCATTAAACGATCAAAATGTTATTTTAGTCTTTTAATGTGTTTTTCCTGAAATCAAGAAACATTTATTGAAATTTCTTAATAGTTGTGCAAAACTGAATATCGACAATTATTTCGGAACGGAGGGAGTATAAATAATTGGTTTGGAAAAGATGCTCAAAATGTCAACGAGGATGGTCGCGCTAACTTATTTGAAGCCGAATAAAACCATCTTGTTATTTTGTTTTTTTTGTTTTTAAATATATTTTTGATATAATTGACTAATTGAGGGTAGTGATCGAAAACTATTTTCGGTATTTTGCTTGGATTCGGGAGGAGTATTCCAAATTATTATTAGGGTGTGTTAATCAATTGAAGCTGAATATATAATCGTTTAAGTTTGTTCAAGATTTCAATGGATTTTGATAAGCAATTGAGTTGCTTTTTACGAGCTGAACAAAAATTGACATCAAACGGAAACATGTGTACAATGTTCACTAATCGAGTTCAAACGAGCTTTTTGGAGATTGGTCTTGTATCAAGTATTGAATAAGTCTTCTAACCATTTTACGAGACGCCCACATCGGTTTTAAATCGACATAGGTAATCAAATTCAAATAAGCAACGTAGTTAATCATCTTGATGAAAACAAAGTTCAAATTCTCTGCCAGAAGAAAAAAACACGATTTCTGTTATAAAACAAACGTAAGAAAAGTGTATGATCGAAACAACGATCAAATATATTCGATCGAACATAATCAAGCAAACTCGATGATTCAATAATCTAATGGGCAAGATAGTTTACAATGTGGATCTACTTTTTTTTTTTTCTTTTCCGGAATATATATATATATATATAAATATATATATATGGATTCGATTTCCACGAATTGGTGAACACTGATCGATTCTTTGCAAGAAAAAGCCGACAATGTAGATAACAAATTAAAAATCTTCCAAACAAAATAACATGGTCCTCAACAAGACACCATTATTAGACAAGACAAAAATCAACCTATACTTACAAGAAAAAAAGTCTCACATCAAAACACTTCCGTTTCGAAACACGCATCTTATTTTATTTTATTTTCGAAAAAACACAAAGTTAGATATATAGCAAAGTGAGGCTTTATTAGACCCGGCTGTTGGCAGGCAGGGGCAAGACCCCATCGAAGAAATCCCCAAAATACCCCCGAGGCTCGTGCACGAGCTTCGATATTATGTCCCTCAGCGTAATAACTCCTTCCAAATTTCCATCTTCGTCCACCACATAAATACGGTGGATCTTCATAGAATCGAGTTTTGTTATAACTTCTTTTAGTGTGTCGTCCTTCTTGCATGTGACCATACCGCTTAGAAACGGTGACTCGTTTTGATGCTCTTCTAGATACCTTCTCACTGTCGTCACAAAGTTCTTCGCAGTGATAGATCTGTATTATTAAAAATAGTGACAAGTTGAGTGGAATATCTAACGAATTATTTGAGATAATTAGGACTTAAGATTATCGATTAGTATATATATAACCCTACACGTGCACTTCTTTAATGACTACACGTTTTTGCACACAAACATCCACATGTAAGGCGTAAAACCTATGGCGGTGTGGCATAACTAGGGGTGAAAGTCGGACGGATCGGAAAATTTCATTTTTTTTTTTCAAAAGTACAAACTACTTCAATTTCCAATTCCGAAGATTTCGGAATCTAGAAATCCATTTTGATTCCAATAGTTTCTATATTTTGGGAATTTTGGAAACCACCCAAGTTCTAAAAAGTTTCGGACTTTTTGTGAATGAGTTGAAGAAACGGGCATAGGAAAAGAAATCAAGGCCTTTTGTGAATAAAATAGCAGACAGAAAAAAATATGATAGACTTTTAACTCCTGCATCATGGCTCATAAAGTAAAAATATAATTAAATGTTGGGAAAAATACAGTTTTCATCCCTTGCGTTATTATTGATGTCACATTTGGTCCCTCATGTTCACAAAAAACACATTTGGTCCCTCATGTTTCAAAATTTCAACACTTCTAGTCATTTCCGTCAATTTTCCGTTAAAACTAACGGAATCAAGCATGTGTCCATCAATGACTTAAGTGACAGACTGACGGTAAATTGACAGAAATGACCAAAAGCGTTAAATTATTGAAACATGAGGGACCAAATGTGTTTTTTGTGAACATAGGTGACCAAATATGAAATCGATGCAAACTATAATTTTCCCAAGTAAAATAAATAAATATTGTTCATAAATCACAAGTGTATTTTTGAAAAAAAAAAATTGGTATCACTTCGGAAATTTTAATTATTTTATATGATTCCAATTCCAATAAAAATAAATATTTGGAAAAATCGGAAATCGGAATGAAAAAAGCTTTTCCAAAATCGGAACTTTTCGAACCGAAACCGGCGGAAATTGGAAATTAAATTCCAATTTCCAACTTGCAATAATTGGACATGCACACCGGAAAAAGTAAATCGAAACATTTTTTAAATAAAAAGGATAGTGGAGAAATATAATCGATACAAAAACCTGTATTCGTTGTAGATTTCCGGTGCCATGAGAAGGAATTGAATATCTCTAATGCTAATATTACCGACCGCCTTACTTCCGCCACTTGCAACCACCGGCACACCTCCAACTCCGTTCTGCCTCATCAGTTTAAACGCCTGCAGTACAGGCTCGTCCTCGTACACCTGCTCACGCCAAATTATAATATCACATAAATATATACACAACTAAATTCAATTCACAAATCACTAAATAATAATATTTATTTTTTATTGCCGGTCAATTATTACCTTTACTATGTGGCTGGATTTCATTAAAGGAAGACCTAATTCGAACAGCTTTTTCGAACCCCAGCTTTCGAACCAATGAAGGCCAGCACATTCTTCGAGCATGTGGATAACGGCGCTTTGAGTGATGATATTGTCGACTTTTGCTTCACCTAAATCAACGACAGGAACACTCTTCATTCTGTACTTGGATAGAAGTAGGAGCATTGTTAAGAACGAGTTGGCCTTTTGCAATGCGAGAAACGGGGCCCACCGGAAAGATCCTGATATATCACCAACCTGTTTGTTTATTCATTTATTAAAACACACACTTAGTTTGGGTTTGGCGCAGAGGTGGAAATCGAACGCCAAAAAGAATCCATTTTTCTTTTCGGAAGTGAAAAATTAATTCCAATTTTGTTCCAAAAAAATTTAGAAAAAACGGAAATTGGAATGAAAAAACTTGTTCCGAAATCGGAAAATTTTCCGATCGGAATCAGTGGGATTCGGGAATTTTCAATTTTTCGGTTACCAGCAATATAAATTACATAATAATATTGATATTATAACTGTATTTTAAAAAAAAATTAAAATCGAATTGGAAATTTGAATCTTATGTGTATACCAATAATTCCGTTCCAAAAAAGATCGAAAAAAACGGAAATAGAAAAATTCAGAATTTAGAATGAAAAATGTTCCGAAATCGGAATTAGCACTTTCGGGGAAACATTCCAATTTTTTTCGGAAGTGAAAAAAACTAATACCAGTTCGATTCCAAAAAAATCGGAAATTGGAATGAAAAAACTTGTTCCAAAATCGAAAAACATTTCCAATCAAAATCGGCGGAATTTGTAATGTCCAAAATTTTGGTCATCTATAGTATAAAAGATATAACGATGTTGATATTATAAGTATAATTTTTGGAAATTAAAATCGAATCGGAATTCCGCATCTAACATTAATTCGAATTCCGTTATAAAAAAATTGAAAAAAATCGAAAACCAGAACCTTGGGAATTCAAAATGAAATTTAGAATCGGAATCAGCAGAATTCAAAAAATTCGTTCCAATTTCCAGCCCTAGACTTTATGATAACGAGTCGAAATAGGAAAAAAAAAAACCTTAGTGTTTTTGTAGAAGTCAGAGGAAGTAAGAGTCTCGAAAAACTTTCCACAAGTAGCAGTAGGAGAATCCGGGTGCATGCTTTTAAACCTCGGTGAAGACATCCCGCTAGCGGCTGCCGCTGCAACTGCCGGTCCGATATCATCCCCTGACCCATTCATGGCCGAATCAAACGCTGAACTGCCTTCCAGCTTTTCCGACTGACACAACACTTATCAAAATTACATCTTCAACATAATTCCCAACAATTTAATCTAATCCAAGATATATGTATGCATGAATAATTCGAAATTTCAAGAAAACCTGATGTAAGATCCACACACCAATGCCAGCAAATTCAACGACGCCTATGTATCTGTCGATCCAGCTGGCATCTTCGGGCGCTTTCACATCTACGACGGGAGCACTGAGTACTTTGTGACGCGCAAGTAATTTGACAGCTTCTGCCAGACTCGTGTCCGAATTTATTTCAATAACTGCGCAATATAACGAAAGTAAGTTCCAACAGAAACAAAAACATATCCTCATATGGCCTCGTTTGGTCGCCAAGATAGGATTAAGAAAAAATAACGTTCAATAATCTAGTGAAACACAATTGTATTTTTAATATTTTCGGGTCGCCCCGGAAGTTATTGGATAATCCCCCCAACCAAACGAGGCCTACAGTATATTAAAATCGACTTGGAGGTAATAAATGTCAACATAAACCAAGTAGTGTGTTCATATAATACTGTGAACAAGCAAACATCCCATATTAAATATAAGGACAAATCACCATCACCCCTGAGGTATGCTCAAATTACGAAAAAATCCCTCGTGTTTGGGTAATTACGACCACCTCTCAACTATGTATTCTCTTACACGTCCACCCTTACGGTGTCAATGTATGCTCAAATTACGAAAAAACCCCTCATGTTTAGGTAGTTTGGGTAATTACAACCAGCTCTCAACTATGTATTGTCTTACTCGTCCACCCTTACGTTGTCAAATTAACCCACTGAAGGAGGAGTTCTTTTTAGTAAGACAGTGAAGGGGTGGTTGTAATTATCCAAACAGGAATGGTTGTTTCGTAATTTGGGCGTGGCCGTAATTCTCCCTAATTATAATTAATTTCCTTCAAATCTAAGTCAATTTAATCCACAAATTCCCCCAAAACAAATCCACCCCTTTTAAGTAGATGATCCATCTTCAAAAAAAAAAAAAGTAGATGATCCAAAATTAATTTTCTTGATCACATAATCAACTCCCCAAATACACACACACATAGAAATAAAATACAACACTAGATACACAAATACAAACCCATAATCAATTACGACCGAAATTACTCCGTACAAATATTAATCATTTGCGTCAGATTCAGTTTTTTGTTACTCTTCGCATCATAAAGTACTGTAACAGTTCGTATAAACAGAATTAAACACCGAGACACACAAATTTAATGTGGTTCGGATACAATTATGCAAATCAATTATCTGAAAAATCATAGATCAATTCAACAAAAAAAAAAAAAAGAAAAAAAAAAAAAAAAATAACCTTGTGATAAAGGAGCATGGGGGAAAGCAGAAACAGGGATGCTTTCAAAACAAGCGTTGAGCTTATCAGTAGGGCTGAGTTGCGGCTCTTGTACATCCCACAGATCCTCAACTTGCATACCCAGTTTCGCTTCCGGGCTTCTCGGCGTTTCACTTTCCTCCATAACCATCTCTCTCTCTCTCTCCTCACTTTCTCTCTCTAAAACAATCTCTTCAAATAAAACAACTATCAGCCTAAGTCACTTTGTTGTTGGGAGAGAGTTGAAAGTTGACGGAACACCGAAAGAAACAAACAAATTACAAACCCAATCATATGCTCTTTACAGTACTAGTGGAAATAATAAAATAATGCCTTTTTTGTTCGGGTGCTACGCGGGTGCGTGTTAGTTTCTGTGGGGCAGGCGGTTGACGACAGATCTTGGTCGTGGAAAAGCGTTGATCTGATGACACGTGTCGACGTGGGCCCCACGGTCAGAGATGGAGACGATGAATTTTCGGGTATGTGTTTGGTTCTTATCCGTTGGAGCTTCTACTTTGAAGCTGTGATCAGTTATCCGATTTTCCATCAGCGCCACTTGCAATTAACAAACATATTTTTATTATTTTTCTGATGGCTTTATATTATTTCTTAATTATTTTATATAATTTGGCTCATATCATATTCATGACTCAGCTTCTCTAGATATTTTTAAATATGAGTTGGGCCTAGCTGTTAGGCCAAAATATGATTGATCGAATAACTAAATACTATTATAATATCCACTTACAACTTGTGGACTAAGTCTAACTACTTGTGGACCAAGTTTAAAGACTTGTGGATAAAGACTCTACTAGATACGTGTCTTGTTTTCTATTGTTGCTAGCATGACAATGCTTGTAGTAATTCATGTATAAATAGATGTTTGGGTTTTCAATAATAAAATCATCACTTTCTTCAGTATCTCTCAGAAGCTCACAATACTACTAATATTATAATATAAGTGTTCTTTACAGTTTACGCACTACAGTTTACTTCATATACATATATATACATATATATTATTGTATTATATTTCATATTTTATAACACGTTATCAGCACGAGTTTTTGCTCTACAAAATTATAGGTTTGTAAAAAGGTTAATTTCTTTTTGTTGTACTATTTTCTATTTATTTTATTTTCCGATGGCCGGAATCGAAAAACAAAAATTTCAAATCCTTGATGTTACCGGCAGTAACTTCTTATCCTGGTGCTTAGATATCAAATTACACCTCCAAGGGCTAGATCTTGTAAAAGCCTTGGATTGTGTAGATATCAAGGAGGCAAACAGGAAAGATGAGGCAAATGCTATGATTTTTATTCGTCATCATCTTTCCGAGGATTTGAAAGATGAATATATACAACTTGAAAGGCCATCAGAGATATGGCAAAAACTCAAAGAAAGGTTTGATCACACAAAAACCGTGATTCTCCCACAAGCCCAATATAATTGGCAGCACCTAAGGCTGCAGGACTTCAAATCTGTTGCCGACTATAATTCGGCACTGTTTAAACTTGAGTCCCGATTAGCCTTGTGTGGAGTTAAAATATCTGAATATGATAAATTGGAGAAAACTTTCTCTACTATGCATGCCTCGAACTTGGTGCTCCAACAGCAATATAGGCAGCGCCAGTTTAAAACATATTCGGAGTTGATCTCTGTACTCCTCACAGCAGAAAAAACAAATGAATTGCTGTTGAAAAATCATGATTTGCGACCATGTGGGTCCCAAGCTGTGCCTGAAGCACATGCTAATCAAAATAGAAATATGGGCCGATTTAGAGGCCGTGGGCGTAAATTTTGGCGTGGTGCACGCAGAGGTGGTGGACGTGGTCCCCCTCAAGATGCCCGAAATAATGACCGAGGTGGATATGAATATCCCCGTCGAAATAATAATAATACGGTCTGGCAGAGACAACCATTTCAGGCAAAACGCGATAAAGGCAAGATGCCCGCGGAAAGAATTCCAGAAAATATGTGTATTAGATGTGGAATGACTGGACACTGGGCCAAAGTTTGTAGAACCGCCCAACATCTGGTAAATCTGTACCAGGATTCAAAAAGAGACAAAGGAAAAAATGTCCAGGCAAATGTCACTGAGGCAGAAATGCCACTTGCTGTTCTTGAAGCCAGCACATCTGGGAGCATGCTTGATCAAGATCCTGCTCAAGATGGAGCCTCTCTTGAGTTATCAGATTTCTTTACAGATCTTGATCCTCTTGTGTAAATTGCCATATGAGCATCTCTTTTGAGTTATTTTGTACTCACTATGTATACTTTGTATATATCTCTCTCGGATGATGTAGTACCCGAGATTGAGCTATTTTGCCTTTTGATGTATCCATGTACATATCTCCCTTGGAGGTTGTTCCCAAGGTCGAGCTGATATTTTGATTATGTATAAAACTATGAGTTTGTTATCATTTTTGAACTATACTACGATTCAATATTAATTTTATGTTATTTAATTCAGGCAAACATGGAGAACATCGACAAAAGAGAAAATTGCCTACTCGATAGTGCAACTACACACTCAATATTCAACAACAAAATATATTTCTCGAGTGTGACTTTGTGCAAGGCACAAGTTAAAACCATTGCAGGTTCCGCGGAAATAATAGATGGCTCCGGGAACGCAACAATTGTGTTGCCTAATGGTACCACTTTGCATATTGAAAATGCATTGATATCAGGTAGATCAAATAAGAACCTACTGAGTTTTAAAGATGTGAGACGTAATGGATATCATTTAGAGACACTGGTTGAAAATACCGTGGAATGTCTCTGCATCACATCATATGTTATGGACAAAAGAATTGTTCATGAAAAACTCGAAGCGACAGCTTCTGGAGTGTATTGTTTCAAAATTAGAGCTTTCGAATCATATGCCACTATGCCATGGAAACTTGTTAATCCCGATATACACGGGTTATGGCATGATCGACTGGGTCACCCAGGAACGACAATGATGCGTAGGATTGTACAACATACTAAGGGACATCCATTAAAAGATACAAAGATCTTAATGTCCAATGAATATTTTTGTGAATCATGTTCACAAGGAAAGCTCATTATAAAACCTTCCATCGAGAAGATCGGTTATGAATCACCATCGTTTTTACAACGTATTCATGGTGATATTTGTGGACCAATACACCCTGCAAGTGGGCCATTTAGATATTTTATGGTTTTGGTGGACGCATCTTGTAGATGGTCCCACGTATGCTTATTATCTACGCGAAATGTTGCATTTGCGCGTTTGCTAGCACAAATTATTAAACTCCGAGCACATTTCCCTGATTATCCCATTAAAAACATAAGAATGGATAATGCCGGAGAATTTACATCAAAAACTTTTGATGAGTATTGTGCAGCACTGGGAATAAATGTCGAGCACCCAGTAGCATACGTTCACACTCAAAATGGACTAGCGGAATCCCTGATTAAACGCGTCCAAATAATTGCTCGTACTTTGCTGATGAGATCTAAACTCACTAGTGCAGTATGGGGCCATGCAGTATTGCATGCATCAGCGCTGATTAAATTACGCCCCACTGCTTATCATATGCATTCCCCAATGCAATTGGCCTTAGGCTTTGAACCCGATATTTCGCACCTTCGCACATTTGGTTGCGCTGTGCAAGTGCCAATTCCTCCTCCTCAGAGGACTAAAATGGGTCCCCAACGCCGACTTGGCATATACGTTGGGTTTGATTCACCGTCGATTATTAGATTCTTAGAACCAATGACGGGTGATTTATTTACCGCTAGATTTGCGGACTGTCATTTTGATGAGACATTATTTATACCGATTGGTAAAGATATTCAGAATATCCGTGATAATGATAAACAAAAACCAATCGAGAATCTCACATGGTGTGAGCAACGCTTATCTCATCTCGACCCACGTACCTCTGAATGTGAAAATGAGATCCATAGAATCATTCATTTACAAAATATTGCCAATAGACTTCCTGATGCATTTAATGATGCCAATAAAGTTACGAAGTCTTATATTCCAGCTGTGAATGTTCCAGCTAGGATCACTGTTCCTGAAGAACATGCGAAAATGAATGATGATCCCCCACGACAAAAACGGGGTAGACCAATTGGATCAAAGGACGTTGTTCCTAGAAAAAGAAAGGGGAAAATTGATGAACCCTCGAACCAAGTGATTCCTAGTGAGAATGCTCCAGATGAATCTGTTGAGCCTGATATCGAAAAAGCGATATCAAAACCCGGGAATACCGAGAATCCCATAAGTTATTGCAATGAAATATGGGATAGAAATGAGATAATCATCGATAATATTTTTGCATTCTCGGTTGCACAAGAAATTATGTACGATGATTATGATAGTGAACCGCGTTCCATAATGGAATGCCGCCAAAGAAATGATTGGCCTAAATGGGAGGAAGCAATAAAATCTGAATTGGCTTCCCTAGAAAAACGGAAAGTATTCGGGCAAATCGTTCAAACTCCGGATAATGTAAAGCCCGTTGGGTATAAATGGGTATTTGTCCGTAAGATGAACGAGAACAATGAAATTGTAAGATATAAAGCCCGCCTTGTAGCTCAAGGTTTCTCCCAGCGACCTGGAATTGATTATGATGAGACGTATTCACCAGTGATGGATACGATCACTTTTCGTTTTCTTATCAATATGGTCGTCCAAGAGGGACTGGACATGCGTCTAATGGACGTTGTAACGGCCTATCTATATGGTTCACTAGATTCTGATATTTATATGAAAATTCCCGATGGTTTTAAAATGCCTAACTCTGGCGCTTCTCGTGAGCTGCACTCAATCAAATTACAAAGATCATTGTATGGTCTAAAGCAATCTGGTCGCATGTGGTATCATAGATTGAGTGAATACCTTATCAGGGAAGGTTATAAAAATGATCCTATTTGCCCATGCGTTTTTATTAAACGATCAGAAACCGGATTTGCTATTATTGCGGTTTATGTAGATGACATGAACCTCATTGGCACTTCTGAAGAGTTGGCCAATGCTGCTGAATATTTAAAGAAAGAGTTTGAGGTCAAGGACCTTGGAAAAACCAAACTCTGCCTTGGTATTGAGCTTGAGCATAAAATTAACGGCATACTTATACACCAATCTGCATATACTAAACGGTTGCTCAAAAAATTTAACATGGAAAATGCTAATCCATTGAGCACCCCTATGGTTGTGCGCAATTTAGATCCTGAAAAGGATCCGTTCCGACCTAAAGAATTTAATGAAGAGATACTTGGCCCAGAAGTGCCGTATCTTAATGCTATCGGAGCGTTAATGTATCTAGCACAATGCACTCGACCTGATATCGCTTTTGCGGTAAATGTGCTTGCGCGATACAGTTCTGAGCCTACACGGAGACACTGGAATGGTGTTAAACATATTTTTCGATATCTTCGTGGTACTGTAGATTTGGGATTATTTTATTCGAAAAATGCAACTAACCAAGGGTTAGTTGGTTATGCCGATGCGGGATATAGATCTGATCCCCACAAAGCTCGCTCACAAACTGGATATTTGTTTTGTTACAATGGTGCAGGTATATCTTGGCGATCCACCAAACAGACGTTGGTAGCCACCTCCTCAAATCATTCTGAAATAATAGCACTTTATGAGGCTGGCAGAGAATGTGTTTGGTTAAGATCGGTCATATCACATATACGAAATTCCTGCCAATTAAATCCAGTTACAAATACGCCCACTATCATTTATGAAGATAATGCTGCTTGTATAGCACAAACAAGAGGTGGATATATAAAGGGTGATAGGACCAAACACATATCACCAAAGTTCTTTCATACACACGAGCTTCAGAAGAATGGAGAAATTGATGTCCAACAAATTCGCTCATGTGACAATCTTGCTGATTTATTTACAAAGTCCTTACCGACTTCTACATTTGAGAAATTGGTATACAATATTGGAATGCGAAGAGCCAATATGAAGCAAGATTGATGGCCCATCTCAGAAGCTATATCGCTCATTTCAGGGGTAGCAATGGTGCGCTGCACTCTTTTTCCCTTATGACTGGTTTTGTCCCACAGGGTTTTCCAGCAAAGGTTTTTAACGAGGCAGCTTATGCACTCAACTTGGATTCGAGTCATGCATTTTTTCCCTTCTGATCGATTTTGTCCCGTTAAGTTTTCCGACTCAAGATTTTTAACGTGGCAGCCTATGCAACATACTTAGTCCAAGGGGGAGTATTATAATATCCACTTACAACTTGTGGACTAAGTCTAACTACTTGTGGACCAAGTTTAAAGACTTGTGGATAAAGACTCTACTAGATACGTGTCTTGTTTTCTATTGTTGCTAGCATGACAATGCTTGTAGTAATTCATGTATAAATAGATGTTTGGGTTTTCAATAATAAAATCATCACTTTCTTCAGTATCTCTCAGAAGCTCACAATACTACTAATATTATAATATAAGTGTTCTTTACAGTTTACGCACTACAGTTTACTTCATATACATATATATACATATATATTATTGTATTATATTTCATATTTTATAACAAATACTATATAAATAAGGGGTTATGTTTTGTTTATTCTATATATTATAGGGTAGATTACAAACACCCCGTGAGTTATGGTCAAATTACAAAACTCCCCTCTTGTTTGGATAATTACATCTACCCCCTCAACTATGATTTTTTCTTACACCTCCACACTTATGGTGTCAAATTCAACATAATCATCTAGATTCCGTGAAATGTGCTCTAGTTTGTACTCGTTTTGTGTAAAAATACAGTTTCCGATGCACCAAAAACTGATATATACAAGCTAAAAATCACATATTATGATCATCTTGCTTTAGAATGTAGAGTTTGAATGAGATAAAATGGGTACAAAAGTGATAATATTCCATATAATCTCGAAGATTTCACTAAATTTGAGGAGTTGAGGGGGTGATTGTAATTATTCAAACAAGAGGGGTGTTTTTTGTAATTTGACCATACATCAGGGGGTGTTTGTAATTTACCCTATATTAGATTATATAGGGGTAATAGACTCAAATTACGACAAAACCTCTCTTATTTAGATCATTTTTTTTTTTTTACGAAAAACCCACTTGTAAAAATGGACGTGCAAGACAATATATAGAAGAGGGGATGATTGTAATTACTCAAACATAATTTTTTTTTTAGTTTTTTTTTATATAAATAATATAACCATACTTCAGGATCGTAATTTACCATATTCTATATGTGTGTAACATTATACTTACTTTGCATATATCAATGTGTATCTACGATGCACTGAAACTTCAACCCACACACGTTTCCACGTTTCGAAAACTGAAACTCTATGGCACCTCTCGGAAACATTTTGGGGCCTTTTCTATAAATATTTAAAAGTTTCTGAGACGTTTATGATAATATTTAAAAATTGGACGAATTTTATTTTAAATAAAAACTTCGAATTACATACACTTAAAAAAAATCGGAAATATTATGCCTCCTATTCACTTCTAGTGGATTTTTAATATTTTTGTTGATGTTAATTCTATGCTACAATAAATGTATATGCCCCGAATGTAATATGTGGAATGATATTAGACATTATAATATTTTTTTTAGAAATTATGAATGCACCCCAATATTTTTATTATTTATGCATTTCCCCAATGTTTCCGTGTCCATTTTTTTGGAAAACAGAGTTCCCGTATCCGCATGTGTATGTATGTGTTACTGAGTAAATAAAAGATCACAACTATTATATTTCACCCAATATATATAGCAGTTCACGAACCAAATTTCAAGATTCTAGTATGCTTAAGCAGTCACAAAACCTTGAATTTAATTTTTTATTTTTTCTGGGCAGAAACTAAGAAATAAAATCTCAGATTATAGTGTGTTTCACAATTCCAGCATGACAAATATCACTAATTATTCTTAGTGACAAGGAAATTAGCTTATGATTTTTTTCCTTGTCATGCTAAAACCTTGTCAGCAGAAAGAAGCAACAAGCAACATTAGACATATAATCTTATATTGAAACAACATAATGTATATTTAATTCTACAGTAGAAACAGAACCACAAACAAAATTCCTCGTGAAAACCATAATTCAATTTCATAATTACATTGATCAAACTAAATTAATGAATGAATGAATGAATTAATTAATCCTCCTCGAACCAAGCATGACGAAGAGCAACTTCAGCCGTTATCCTATTCTCCGGATCGTAACTCAAAAGCTTGCTTAGCAGATCAAATCCAACTCGTGTAAGCATCGGAAACTCGTCTCGTGTCAAATTGCAAGGCAGTTGACCAAAATTAGCTACACTCCCCGGCAAACTCGTAAATCCAGGCCAAATATCCTCGTTCGGAGTCCCCAAAACCCTATACACACACTTAATCTGATCCAACTCAGATTCCCCTCTAAAAAGCGCTTTTCCCGTAAACAACTCAGCCATTATACAACCAACCGACCACATATCCACCGCACTCGAATATTTTTTCGCTCCGAGTAGAATTTCTGGAGATTTGTACCAGCTAGTGCCTACACTCGGTGTATATAATCCCGACCTGCTTCCAAACGAACGGCACATCCCAAAATCGCATATCTTCAAATTTAACATCCCTTTTTCGTCCTTGTTCACGAGAATATTCCCCGGCTTCAAATCCCTATGCATCAGTTTATTCGAATGCAGAAACTCGACCCCCTCCAATAACTGCTTCATCAAACACTTGACTTCGCTCGGATCAATAATAAAGGGCTCGTCGTCTTTCTTCTTGGATTTGATGTACTTTTTCAAATCACTTTCAAAATATTCCATGACTATATAAACGGGGTCTTCTTCGTCGTCGTCGTCGTCAAAATCATTACCGACGAGAACTTCCTTTAATCGGACGATGGAAGGGTGAGGAAGAAGGGACTCAAGTACGTCAGTTTCTCGGAAGGAAGATAGAGAAGTTCCGTTGAACTGTAGTTTGATGGCGACGATTTCTCCGGTTTTCAAGTGGCGAGCTTTGTGTACGACGCCGTAAGTTCCAGATCCGATTATATCAATACTTTGATAACCTGTATTATTATTAAGCATACCGGAGGAATATTTTCTTCCGATAATCTTGGAGGATACATCGTCTTCATCATCGTCGTCGTCGTCAGTTTGAATAAAAGCGCAGCCAAGTTTGGGTTTCTTGACAGTAATATTTTGAGGCGGTTTGGATTTGAAAGCAGCTCGTTTTCTGGAACCATAGATAGAAGCATACAGATTCTTCTTCGGCGGCGCGGCCACCACTTCGGCGGCCATGGCGAAACTCTCTCTCTCTAAATCTCTCGGAAAATCAAATCAACTTTCTCTCTAAATCTCTCTCTAAATTTCTCTCTCTCTCTCTCTCTCTCTCTCTCTCTGAAAATCAAATAAAATATGGTGTTACGTGGTTTGCAAGGAATGAGGCGATTGATTAGGGTTTAAATAGAAAGAAGAATGATTGATGTTAGGGAAGTTTTTGAACATCATTAATTACCTTTCCTTATACAACTCAACCTTTGTTGTACTACTACTCTCTACTCCCTTTCTAATTAATTCAAATACGTGTAACTATTGTGTTCCAATCTTTAGCTTTGTCTAAATTCTAATCAAATCAATTTTACTAAAATATTATTCTTCTTCTTCTTCTTCTTCTTCTTCTTCTTCTTCTTCTTCTTCTTCTTCTTCTTCTTCTTCTTCTTCTTCTTCTTCTTCTTCTTCTTCTTCTTCTTCTTCTTCTTCTTGTTATTATTATTATTATTATTATTATTATTATTATTATTATTATTATTATTATTATTATTATTATTATTATTATTATTATTATTATTATTATTATTATTATTATTATTATTATTATTATTATTATTATTATTATTATTATTATTATTATTATTATTATTATTATTATTATTATTATTATTATTATTATTATTTAAAAAAATGAAAGTAATTTAAGGTGTAATATTTCGTTTTAAAAACAAATAAAAATGCCTCGTTTAGATATGGCTGCTTAGAAGTTGAATAAGGGAAGTGATGAGATTGGAGTGAGGCCTTGCAAATTGCAATCACAATGTATACTAACAAATCAAGAAACACAAGAATCAGTTAAATTTTATGCTTTTGGATAAGGTAATTATTAACAGGTTATTGGAACAAAATAAAGATTTCAGAAGCTCGAAATTAGGGTTAAACCTCAAAAATTTGAAAATAAGGAATTCAACAGCCCAAACACTTGAACTGAGACATCGATCAAGGCACATAAATCACAAAAAGAAAGCACGGAACATGCACAAAAAGAGAAATGGTAAACTTAACACCCGAAACAAATGAATGACAAAAGACTCACCTTACTTTCACCGCTGTCCACATTAGCGAAGAATGAATGAATTCCCACTTTTCACAAACACCATGTAAATCAGCAACAAATTATCTCTGCACCAGTGAATACACATTCTTACTTTTCACACTGTCAAATGAGCAAAGGAAAAAAAAAAAAGAGATGATTTATGAATAATAAGTGCACATAATCCATGGAAAAATAAACGCTTATTAGTTTAATCCTATCTGCACTTTCACCTACCTAAAACAAACAAAAAGCTTTAAAAATAGCTAAAATAGGCTCCATACCTAAATTCGAATTCAATTTGAACCCCATCAGCAAATTTTTACCCTTACCAATCTGCCAACCCAGCCCCAGCAGCCCATAAGAACTAAGAACTAAGAAACTGCTCATTAATTCACTATTCAAATTCCCAACAAAGAAAAAAAAGTAATGGTTGGAATTCACTAAATTGTTTAATTAAGCTCGTCAATCTAATAAAGTTTTAAACCATAAAGATATTTTTTGGTTAATTTGCAAACAATGGAAGGGGACATGATGTGAGATGGTTTATATCCTAAAGGTAAACTTCGTCAACTAATTCACCATTATTCAAGAATGCATTATTAATATCTAGTTGGTGCAGATGCCGACCCTTAGCAACAACAACGGAAATTAGGGTACGTTTTAACCTACATTTACCATTTTTGCTACCGGACAGAAAGTATCCATATGCATGTAGTTTAGGGGTGGTAAATGAGCCTTTAAGAAACTCAATAAATATATCTTGATTTTAGAAAAATCATATAAAAATGACTAAAACAATCTTTAATATTTAATGATTTATAAGAGAAAATTAATGAATAGAGTTTTATTAATAAGGTTAAAACAGGAAAAATGCAATTAATGCAGCATTGGAAATCTAAAGTGACAGATAATATGGAACAAAAATATTTTTAAAAAGAGACAGTTATTGTGGAACAGATGGAGTAATAAATAAGAGAAATATGCAATACGCCTCAAATGGAAAATATTCTGAACTAAATTCAATTGACTTTTAAAGATTTTTGCCTACATCCAAGTTTTATTCTTAATTAGTGAGGCCCCTGACCAGACATGATAAGACTAAAGCGCCCTTATGTGGTTATGTTTTTAACGTGATACAATTTTATCTCTCTCTCTCAATTTCTCTTTTTTTTTTCTTCTTCTTTCTGCAGATGTGTGTAACCGCCGGCGCCCTTCTTTCTCTTTTCCACACCACCGCCATAGTCAGCTTGCCGCCCTTCGTCGGACGCGTGATTTTCTACATGGAGATTCCCCTTTTCGTTATCTATCTCGATTTCTCAGTTTTCTTTCCAGATCTGTCCACCACCACCACCGTAGCCGCCTCCATACTCTCTCTTTCATTCACCGTCGTTGTCATCGCCTCCCCCACCCTCCCTTTCGTTATTTTAGATTGTTTTTCTCTCTCCAGATCTGATGGAGCAGCATCAACGTGACTATAGTTTGGTTCGAATATGACTATTACAGTTTCACTCGATTAGTGATTTATTAATTTCTTGAGTTCCTTGTCTCTCTTGATTTTCCTCTCTTTACACCACCATCGTCTCCACATAGATTTGTACACCACCCACCACCACCGCCCCCACTCGTTACCACCGTCTCCTCCTTCGTTTCCACGTAGGGCTCTTTCTCTCTTTTTCGTTATCTTTCTCGATTTCTCAGTGGTTTTTTTTCTTCAGATTTGTCCACCACCACCGTCGCCGTCTCACTTTCTTTCCTTCACCACCGCCACCACCGTCGTTGTCCTCGACTCCCCCACCCTCTCTTTCGTTATTTTCTATATTATTTATGTATTTTTCGATTTCTCTCATTTCTTTTTTTTTTTCTTTTTTTTTTTAAGATCTGAAAATACAGTTTCAGATCTGAACAACAGCAGTAACATGACAATAATCATATTCGAATATGACTATAGTCATATTTATGTATTTTTCGAATATGACTGTAGTCATATTCGAATACGACTATTGTTGAATATGAATGTAGTCATATTCGAATATGTTCTATCTTCTCGTTTTCAAGCTGACTTCTAATAACTAGATTCAAATTGTGATTTTTTGTGTGAATGTTGATTGGATTATTTTCGTAAACAATAGGGAATCTTCGTTATTTATATAATTTGGTAAACATGACTATACCACACTATATAATCGCAATTTTTAAGTTGAAAAAGTGAAAAACTGCAATATAAAAAAAAAAAGAATATGACTACAATTAATATAATCACATATAGTCATATTTAACTATAGTCATATTCGGTGTTGTAAACCTGTCGAGAAAAGAATTTTAATTTTTTGTTTGAAAAAAATTAAAATAAAAATTAATAAAATATTTTTATTAAAAAAATATTAAAAAATAAAAATTAATAAATAATGGCCAAATAAAGTACGAAAATAAATAAATAATGGCTAAATAAAGTCCGAAAATAACAACAAATAAAAATAAAAAAAAAAATCATTTTTTTTTTATTTGGTGGCAAATTTTTAGGAATTTGGAAGCAGATTTTTAGGAATTAGATTATTGTTATGGGAATAGAGAAAACAGAAATAATTGTGACTAATTATGCTAATTGATATAAGGGTAGAATTAGGAATAAAATTTCTCGAAGTTATTAGAAGGAAAGATTTGAGAGATAGACATATCACCATTTCTTATATATACGAATGATTTATTGCTAATGACCCCTTATCATTATTTTACTAGAAATGTTGTCTAATTGGAAGTTTTTCAGCAAGTCAAACTTGGTTAAACACAGAATAGCTTCGAAGGTTCGCTTACACAACTCCAGCTTCGGAGCACTTGTGTTATGAAGCATGTATTGCGGTGCCACGTGCCACTTCACTAACAATAATGCAACTTGATATTTAATGCCCCATACCTATTTACGAAACCTCACCCGAACCTCCGGTCTACACGAAGTCCCCTAAAGCGATACAACTCTCAACCTTAATCCGAGCCTCTATTAGCCTATACATATCTCACTATTTTGATATAAAGGTGATTATAGAAAAAATAATATTAAATAACAATGTTAATTTTTATTACTTATATGATTGACCTTCCCTTCTATGTCTTACGGTAATGGTTTCTCAGGCATTACGACATTTACCACAATGATACTGTCTATATAGACACGGCCATAGGCTGGTTTTTGGCTCGGAACCGGCCCGTTGACAAACCGGACCGATCCGTTGACTGGTGAATCGATCTCAGAACCGTGAACCGACCGGTGAACCGATCCCAGAATCGTGAACCGGCCCATGTCCCTCGGGACGGACCCGGTTCTAGAAATAAGTGAACCGTGAACCACCGGACCTGCCCGGCGGTTCATCCGAATTAAAAAAAAAAAAAAAAAAAAAAAGCTGAAAAAAGTTAAACTGATTTAGTAAACCAGCCCGGTGAACCTGCCGTTATTTGCTTTTTTTTAAATTTCCCCCCCCCCCCCCCCCCCATTTTGTCCTATAAAATTAAGTTCAAGTCCTTTTATTTATTTTCTTTTATTTTTTTTCCTATTTAAAAGTAATTTTTTTTAATTTATTTATCCATCAAGTATATTTTTAAATATATATATATATATATATATATATATATATAAATTTTCGGACCGGCCTGGAACCGGCCCGGAACCGGAGTGAATCGTGTGTAGTACAAGCCGGTTCTCGTTCCGGAAAAAGTGAACTGCGAACTGGAGTGAACCGACCCGGAACCGGCCCATGGCCATGTCTATTTCCATAGATCAAATTATTTCGTGAATTGGATTTCACTTGACTGTCTACGGTTCCATTGCGTGTGCCCGGGGTAGAGGTTTTGTATAAATGTATCGCGATACTGTTAAGTATTTTGATTTAAGTTATTTTCCTTCTAAGAGGTGGAATAGTCCGTATTAATGATTTTTTTATCACGGTAATGTAATGTAAAATTATTTTATTTATTAAACATTTCTTATGACATTATATTGTTTAATTAGCATATGTTACTTATTTCGTATTTGATACGACAATCGTCCAAAATATGCAGGTCACTTGCAATGTATTGAATTCGATACATGCGGTTAACACAGTTGTTATCAAACACAATTTTAATAATTATTTTGCGTTAAATGAAGAATTTAAATTTAAATTAGGTATTGTGGTTATACACATGAAATCTCAATCGTCAATATTTTTCGTTTATCCTTTATTTTGACGTAATTAATTACTTACACCAAATGAGATCATCTATCAACTTCTGATCTCACTATTTTGAGGACATTTTTTCTAATCAAATACTTGTTTTCATGATGAATATTCACGTGTATCGCATGGGTGAAGTACTAGTAAATATAATTTTGGGCGATATGTGTTTAAAATTGTAAAATTTATCTTGGAAGTATTTATTTTGCATAAATGATGTACCGACGATAAGATTAAGTAAAATAAAATATTGAAATATACTTATGAAGGAAAAATTACGATAATTGTTACAGTAGAACCTCGATAAATTAATAACCTTGTTTAAATAATATTTTTTCCCGTCCCGACTCAGGGGACAACGTGCTACATTAATAATTCGCTAAATTTATAAGATAATACACATTCAAAAAATTTAAGAAGCCCGATAAATAGATAATTCTTAAATAACATATACAATATCTATTTTATAAATCTTTGAAGTCTTTTAATAAAACATGATTTAGTTCTCGTTAGTTTCCTTTTGAAATTCACATCACCGTCAATTTCAAGCCTCACTTTTCTTAACATGATTAGAGCTCGGGTACAATTCTCTCATTATTCAACAGAAAATTATTCAATACCATTGTCACTTTAAGAGCTTCTATTCGGGAAACAAGTTATATATAATGAATAATATATACGTAAACAAATTTAAAAAAAAAAATGAATAATATAATAAAAATAACTTCATGAATTAGTAAGTTATTAATTAATATATAGATTAATAATTATTAATAAGTTAATATTTCTCTAAATTAATAGGGTTTTGATAGTTCCAACTGTATCAATTTATAAAGGTTTAACTATATCAACGTCTAGCTAGGGGTGAGTTCGGGACGGGATTTCGGGAATTCGGGATTTTCGGGATTCGGGATAGAAATTTCAAATCCCAATCCCGTCCCAAACTATTAAATCCCGGTTATATCGGTATCCCTAAATATTTCGGGAATCGGGATTGGGATCGGGAAATCCCATATTTTGCCTAAAAACTAAGAAATATTACATCTTTTTTCCATTAGTATTATTTTATATACTAAACAAACTTGAATATATTATATACATACTATTGTTCTTGCCTTATTTATTTTTACCACAAAACTTGGAACAAATAATATTTTAAAAATTTAAAAATAAGTTGAAACAATATATTTTATATTGTATTTCTCATCTCCTTGACACTATATATATATATATATATATATATATATATATATATATATATATATATATATATATATATATATATATATATATATATATATATATATATATATATATATATATATATATATATATATATATATTTTTCTTTTTTTCCTAATTCGGGATTAAAATATCCCGATCGGGATTGAACCAATTCTCTAATACCGATCCCGTATTTGTTCCTAATCCCAATCCCAAATCCCGTAATCCCGAATTCCCGAAGTTTTAGTCCCAAATAGTAAAATCCCGATCGGGACGGGACGGGATCCCGAATCCCGATCCCAAATGCCCAGCCCTACGTCTAGCTATGTGTGTGCTTGTGTTGTAACTTGTAACTTGTATGGCCACATTAAATTGCCAAATTAAAAAGGAAGAACTATATTTATCATTTTCCTTTTTTTGAGAATTGGAAAAAAAAATATTATTTTGTGCATATTTATAAAATAAATATTTCTTAGCTATTAATAAAGAATATGTATTTTCCATTGCACGATTGAAATTTCTTGTACTTCTAAAATTAATCAAAACTAAAATAAAAATAGTACTTACATATATCTATTAAAAATTAATTTGAAGCGTTTCTTTAATTGCCTATTATTATATATAAGCACATACATTATTCATACACTAAATATAATTAAGTGCAAATGAATCATCCAATTCCAAGTCTTATATATATTTTTATGGGCAAACTATGGCCATCTCTGACTTATAATTAAATTATGAAAAAATCCATTTCGTATGGGTAATTACAGTCACCCCTCCTTCTAAATATATTTACATAAAATTTATGTAATTTGATTATTTAACGAACCAAATCGTATATTCAGTTCGGTAAATAGTATGAAATGCTGACATATGGAAATTTCGGTTCGATTTTTACCGATTTAACATCCCTAAATGTACACCTGGAGGGGTATTTTCGTAAGATAAGACATAATTAGGGGGTGGCTGTAATAACCCAAACAGATGATGAGTTTTTTTTCATAATTTGACGATAACACATGGGTGACCGTAATTTGCCGTATTTTTTATGGGATTATGGCAAATAGGCCCATGACAAGGGCACTTAATTAAAAGAGGAACATCCAACTATTTTGTCTTTCAATTAAATCCAACCCATTCAAACTTATTTGCAAATAAGGAAAATCCTTTTATATATACCAAAATTACCCCCAATTCATTGAAACCCAATTCAACTCCAATTTCATGATTTACACCCCAATTTAGCCCAATTTCATTAATTAACCAATTTTAACCCTAATTTCAATTTTGAACCCAATTTTAACCCTAATTCTTACCAATTCCACCCATTATGCTCTAACTTCCTTAATATTACACATTGACCCCGGATTTAAACAAATATATCACATTAACCCCCCAAAATTTTTTTTCAGAAAATATTTTTTTTTTCAGAAATGTTTTTTTTCCGGCCAGATTCCGGCGCTGATCGCCGAAGACCGCCGGTCACCGGCGTTGACTTTTTTTTTTTTTTTTTTTTTTTTTATAATTTTGTTTTTTCTTAAAAAAATATTTTAATTAATATTACTGTCTTGGCTGCTAAATTACTGTCTCCGGCAGTTATTTAACTGCCGGATACAGTAATTTAGCTGTTAATTGACTTTTTTTTTTCTTCAAAAATATTTTAATTAATATTACTGTATTCGTTGCTAAATTACTGTCTCCAGCAGTTATTTAACTGCTGGAGACAGTGATTTAACTGTTAATTGACTTTTTTATTCTTAAAAAAAATATTTTTAATTAATATTACTGTATTCGTTTGCTAAATTACTGTCTCCAGCAGTTATTTAACTGTCGGAGACAGTAATTTAACTGTTAATTGGCTTTTTTTCATTTTTTTTCTTAAAAAAAATATTTTCATTAATAGTACTGCCTTAGATGCTAAATTACTGTCTCCAGCAGTTATTTAATTGTCGGAGACAGTAATTTAACTGTTAATTGACTTTTTTTTTCATTTTTTTTCTTAAAAAAATATTTTAATTAATAGTACTGCCTTAGATGCTAAATTACTGTCTTCAACATTAATTTAACTGTCTTAGACAATAATATTAATAATATTACTGTTCGGAAAAATAATATTCATAATATTACTGTTCGGAAAAATAATATTCATAATATTACTGTCCCAAACAGTAATATTACTGTCTGAGACAGCAATTTAGTAGCTAAAACAGTAATATTAATTAAAATATTTTTTTCTTCTAAGAAAAAAAAATTCAAAAAAAAAAAAAAAAAAGTCAACGCCAGAGACTGGCGGTCACGTTGACCGCCCGGAAAAAATTTCAGGAAAAAAAAAGTTTTCAAAAAAAAAAAAAAAATCAACGCCGGAATCTGGCCGGAAAGAAAATATTTCAGAAAAGAAATTATTTTTTGAAAAAAAAAAGTTTTCGGGGTTAATGTGATATATTTGTTAAAATCCGGGGTCAATGTGTAATATTAAGGAAGTTAGAGCATAATGGGTGAAATTGATAATAATTATATTATTGAGGGCATTTTAGACTAAAGACATGGGGATAGGCTTAATTGAGAGACTGTTTTTTTTTTGGACCAAAATGCATTTAAGTCCCATGTGATGGCCTTTTTGCCATTCGCCCATTTTTTATTTATTAGAAGAAAAAAAGAGAAAAAAAAAAAAAAAAAAAAAAAAAAAAAAACCATATATATACACTGTAGACACACACACCTGTCTCCAACAGTGAGAATTTCATTTGACTTTATGTTATTAATGCAGCTACTCAACATGGAAGGTGCCTCCTCCTCCGGGCCTCCGCGGTTCTATGGAACCTCCCCGCCGTCCGACTCCACCGATTCCTCGCCGTCCGACTCCGCCGCATCCTCGCCGTCCGACTCCACGGACGGACCGTCCAAGTTCCTTGCCGATCTCCCCTCCCGCGGATTCTTCTCTTCCCCCGTCGTATCCTCCAATCCGGTATTCCTCTTTCCCGAAACCCTAGGGTTTCTATTTCCTTTTTTTTTTTTGTATATATCATGATCCCGTCGTTTTTTTTTCTTTTTATAAATTGAAATTCGATTGTTGTATATGCTGTAATTGAGTAATTGAATAGGAATTAGGATGGAAGGGAATGATGCCTCTTGGGATCGAAACAAAGGTTTTAAAGATTTTATATATTAAATAAGAAATTAATTGAGAGGATTTAATTTAGTGGCAATTTCAATAAGATTTATACATACATGGCTGTTAGATAAATAGTTTAATCTGGCCTTTACCAACACTTGGCGCTAGCTCGTAACTTATAAATCATTGGATTTGATTTCCGTAAATGACGGAAATCGTGGCTTATTTGTTGTTTATAATTTCCGACGTGTGTCGAGTCCTTGTTCGAAGTTTTCTTGTGGAGTGTGAAAACATGTGTAGGGTTATCACGTGACGTAGAAAATATGCGCAAATGTGTAGCGGATCTTTCAATAATTAGGTCAAATGTAAGATTCCCACGTACTGTTTTGCTTGGAATTAAGTCGGTACGTAAAAAGCGGCATTAAAAGCGATTGCCAAGTGTATTGTAATCTGTTTACCTTAAAAATCTCTTATCCCGATTTTCTATCTTCGACGTGTCTAACTTGCCGAATTATCGAAGGGGTGCTATTAAAAGTGTACATATATTCGAAGAATGTAAATGTGTTTCGTTGTTGTTTATGTACAAAGTAAAAACGGGAGGTGTAATTTTTCCTTCGGTCTCCTCCGAGAGTATTGTTGTGTTTCTCACTCTAATCTATTAACTACGATTTGTGCAGGAAGAAATGCCGGTCTACATATGCGATCACGATACGTCACCTCCAGGTTGTTTTTTCTGCACGTTTAATCGTTCGTTTTTTTCAGATTCTTTAAATAAATGTCGTAATCGGAGGAATATCAACTTGAATTTGTCGTCTCAGATGACCAGCTCATAATGACAAACCAAACACATATACTGGTTAGGTCACTTATGCTCAAGAATCAAAAGGACGATCCCGGTTCAAAAGACGCAAAAGTCGCTCCAGTCAATCAGGTTTCGAGGAAAAGGTACGATTTTAGTCCCTCTATAATTGTAGGGATATTCTTTTGCGATTCTTTTTGTTTCAAGGGTTCATTTCAACTGGCACTCAGGCCCGCCGAGAAACCTTTAGATAAGGCTGAAGGAAAGAAGCCCATGTCGAGGGCTCAACTTGATGCTCTTCCCGATTTGGCATATTCACGGCGTAGAGAGAGAAAGCCGCGCCCTTTCTTCCCGCCTGCCATGCGTTTCGGGTTTGTATAATCCCACTTCATTATTTTGTCCATCGTGTATAATTGATTGACGGGATTCTCGTATCATTATTTATCTGATGCACTTATCTTTCGATTGGTAGAGGGATCATTCCGTGGACTTTAGACAAATTAGCGGACTTTTGAAAGTATATCGAATTCGAGGAGAGATGTATTTCTATCAAAGGGAAAAAAGGCAAGTCAGTTACAGTTTTTTTTTTTTTATCTATTTAATATTTTCTGGTTCTGCGCCATTTAATATGTTAACTCGTGTATGCATTTGTATTGACAGGGGTAGTTGATCGCTCGATTCAGAAGCGTAACTGGCTAGAGAGAGATTTAGTTGAGAAGTTGATGTGAGGGTAATTTGGTCCTCAAACTGTGTAGCAATATTAATGTTTCAGATTTTTTTTTTTTTGAATTATATTCTGCCAGTTCATTGGCTTGATGGATCGAAGCATCGAGTCCAACGTTTCGATATTCTTAATTTTGAACTGATCTTAGTACTTGCGCGCTGATAAGCGTCTCAGCCAACAAATATTTGATTTGCTTAATTTGCCGTCGACCACAGGTAAATTCGGCCATTGGTTATATTTATATCTATGTTACTCCCATTTGTTTCTTCTTGTGCAAATAACACCTTGCAATTTATCTAATATATATATTTATGCATCTTTTTTTTTTTTTTTTTTTTTTTTTTTTTTTATACCCTTTTTTAATGTTTTCCAAATCATTTGCAATTTTTTCGAATTATTTTGTAAATTTGATGGAGTTCCTATAATTTGCCTATGTTTTTGTGAATTTTTATTTCTCTCAAGGAGTTTTGAAAACTTACATATAAAGACTAGAGAAGAATAGGATTCTATTCATCGATTTGTTTCAAAATTTTCTGTTTTTCTATATAAATCTTGAATACAGTTCAATTTGACACGAGAGTATCGATTTTTGCGATTGTTCGGTAGATTTTTGAGTTAATTGCAAATACAGCCCCTGTGAAATCTCTAATTGTCAAATTACCTCTTGTCAAAAAAATATTCGCTCATACGTAAACAAAGTCAAGGCATTAAGACCCATGAGAGCAAATCGTGTCTCTCACGCGCTCCTACTGCGATTTTTTCTTAATTTTCAATTGTGAAATGTCAAAAGTGTCCCCAAGCCCCCTTCTCCCTCCCTCTTCTTCATTCTCCATCGTCCCCAACATGTACCATTCTTCATTCTCCATTGTCCCCAACATGTACGCCACCCACCAAAAAATTCGGAACTTGAAGAAGCCCAAACAATTGATGGATGGGGTGGTGCGTGGTGGGCGGCGACGGTGAATGATAAGTATAATTGGAAATTGAGAGGAAGGGTAGGGAATTGGGCTGCCGGTGGGAAAATTGCAGAAAGTTGGGAGATGGATTTTGGAAAAAATGCAATTTAGTCCCCCAATTTAAGTTTTAGAAGTTTAACAAAATTCCAATTTGGCCTCTTGAATTATTATAATTTTATGTTATTCCACTTAGGGGTATACTTGTCTTTTTACCTTCAGTCAACCATTAAAATGATAATGGGTGCTGTGAGCTTCGGAAAATATTACACAGGGAGGTATGAGCGAATTTTTTTTTGATAGAAGGGTATTTGACAATTAGAGATTTCACAAGGGTGATATTTGCAATTAACTCGTAGACTCTTGCATAAGTTTTTCTTGGGGTTTTCTTTTCGTCTTACTCTGGCATAGATTTTTAACAATTATATGTACTTATAAATGAGTAAATTATGCCCACCCTATAAGATATGATTAAATTACGAAAATCCTCCTCCTGTTTGGGTAGCTACAACAATCCTTGAACTATGAATTTTCTTACACGTGCAAATTTAGTGGAATCTTCTAGATTATATGGAATATTCTCAAGTTTGTATATGTTTTATCCCATTCGAGCTCCACATTTTGAAGCAAGATGATCATAAGATGTGTTTTTTTGGCTTGTATATACCAGATTGTGATTCATCAGAAACTACATTTTTTCACAAAACGAGTACAAAATAGAGAACATTCCACGGAATTTGGAAGATTATGTTGAATTTGACACCATAGAGGTGGGCGTGTAAGAAGATTCATAGTTGAGGATGGTATTTGTAATTATCCAAATATGAGGGTTTTTTCGTAATTTAATCATACCTCAAAGGTGGTTGTAATTTACCCTAAATAAATAGAAAAAAAAAAGAATTTTAATAGTTAAAATAACTGGATTCTATATTCTCTACAAGAGAAAGGGAAGTCAAATATAATAAGAAGCCAATGAATGCTAAACCAAAAAGGTTACAATACATTATTGAAAAATGGTAAATAATGTGTTGGCGTAGAAAATGAAAAACGGAAGTTCAATTACAGACAACTAAAAATGTTTGATTACAAAATGTGGATTTTGGTGGGATATTGATATGGATTTCCAGGGTTGTCCCTTCCTCTCCACGTAAAATCGTTCTAGCTGCGTCGAACCGTAAATATGCAACGATTCCAAAGACGACGCTTTCCGCAGGAGGCGATGTGGCAGCTTCGCCAATTCCCAGCAGTTTCGAATAATCAGCTCCGTTAGACAAGGCATCAACGCGACGGCGGCCGAATGTTCTTCTTCGGCCGTAATATCCTCCCACTCTCTCCATCTCCTACAATTCCTAAATTGAAGTTTCTTCAACTTGGGAAACGCGATAGTGTTTGAAGAAGATGAACAATTTTCAAATAAAAGATCCCATGTTGTTACTGTTGTTGTTATTCCGAGGAATTCGCGTCCAACAAACTCCAATCGAGAATCGCAAACAGTTTCAAATTTGATCTCGAAATTCTCGAGAAGGGGTAGTTTACCTAGAGACGGCAGCGACGAAAGGTGTGTACATTCGGAGAGGGTGATAGATTTGAGTTGGTTAAGGGGCGACGAGATCCATTTCGGAAGTCGATGCTCATATGAGAGGGTAATATAAAGAATTTGTAGGTTTGGATGTGGCTCCAAAGCATCTACTAGAATCTCGTGTCCGGAAAAATATATTCGGAGTTCTTGAATGTGTTTCTTTTTCCCCAACTCGGCTTCACGGATATGCTCGAGTATCTTTTCCTCGGCCACCTCATCTTCTACTATGTAATCGGAGTAGGTTCTCAATTCCAAGCACCCGCTGAGTCGGTTTAAATTCTTCAACAATCCCAACTCGCTCCAACACTTTTCTCCGAAAACGAATCGACTCAACGTGACAAGCCCGGTTAACTCGCCTAGTCCTTGAGGATATTGCACCAGAGATTCGGTGCCAGAATTGTAGATGTGCTTGAGGTTGACGAGCCTGCTTATCCCTTGGGGAAGTCTCGAAAGACTCTCGCACCCATTGACATTTAACGTTTCTAATTCGCACAAATTGCATAGCGTCTCCGGCAACTCTTTTAGAAGATTATTATAGCTCAAGTCGAGGTGTATCAAGTGAATCAAATTCCCGATTTTCGAGGAAACTTCTTGTAGCTGGCACATGTCCAACAAAACAAATTTCAAGTTATAAAGATTGCAGATGTACTTTATATCTTCGTTGTGAAATTTATTCTGACCCAAGTTCAACCACCTCAAGTGAATCAACTTTTTTATTTCTTTCGGAATACCTTTCAAGCCACATCTCCTTAGGCTTAACAACCTCACACGTGTGAGGCAATCACAAAGATGCGGATCGGGAAGTTCTTTTGAGTTCAACAAACTACGGTAGTCTTCGACATCGGAAACTATCGAAGGGTTACATGTTTGGCAACTTGTTTTCTTCGTTCCCGCTCCGACCCCGCCATTGTTCCTAAGGAATCGAGCAAAATCATGTAATATATCATGCATCTTAAACGATTCTATCCTATCACCACACGTCTTGAAGTCTTGAAACAGAGAACGCATTGCCAGCTTATCAAAGTACTCTCTCCCTCTAACTTTCCAGTCACCACCGTTACTCCCGTTGGATTCTAGGTAACCCAACGACATCCATTTTGTTACTATACCCTCCACATCGATTTCCGTATCTTTAGGAAAGACGCCACAATACGAGAAGCAACGCTTGAGCGCCGGAGACAATTCGTTGTAACTCAGAAGCAAGTGGGCGAAGAGGTCAACTTCTATCTCCTCCAACACCCATATTTCACTATCCAATACGTCCTCCCACTCTTCCAAGGTATTCTTGAAACGCAAAAGACTTCCCAAAGTCTTTGCTGCAAGCGGCAACCCCTTGCACTTCCTAGCAATAGCCTTACCAATGTTCTCGACTTTTTCGCGTTCCTCCCTATTCTTTCCGGAAAGGGCTATCCGACCCAATAACAACCAACACTCGTCATGCGACAGATGTCCTAAATGGTGGATGTCGTTCTTAACACCACCCATCATTACGACAACCCTTTGATTTCTAGTTGTCACCAAAATCTTACTACCCGCTCCACCGTGTTTGAGGGTGTTTTTAAGAGGTTCCCACTTGGTATCGTCTTCTGTCCAAACATCGTCCAGGACAAGAAGAGACTTCTTTCCGGAAATGGAATTTCCTAGACATTGTAATAGCATATCTAATTGGTTTGTATTCGGTTTGCTCCCTCCTGCGCCCTCAATAATTCCATTGGCAATTCCAAACTCATCAAAAGGATTTGAAACGCATATCCAAATTCTTAGTTCAAAACAATTCTTTACCCGACTATCGTTATAAGCTAGTTTAGCAAGAGTTGTCTTCCCAATTCCCCCCGGGCCCACTATAGAGATGACACGCATGTTTAATTCTTCTCTCCTACCATCTCCAACCACAAGTTTGCCTATCACATTTTCCATGTCAAAGTCGCGGCCACAGACTTCCTCTAAGTCGATCAAAGAAGTAGTTTGCACTCGCCACGATTCGCGAGAAGCATAAATCGGGCGAGAGGTCACAAAGTCAAACTGATCTCTCTCCACCAAAATTAGATCAAGTCGTTTCTTCACTTCTTTTATTTTCAAGGCAATATCGTGACGAATAACGACTTTCTTGAAAAATAAACTTGGAGATGGGATGAAGGGCCATACCTTTTGCTGAAGCTCGATAATGGAAATGTTCCATTCATCCAACACGTCGTCCATCTCGTAAGACGCATCTTCTAGCTTCCTCAACCAATCCTTGACGCTCTTGTCCTTAAATTCTCGCCTCTCCGCACCATCCAACAAATTGCCTATCGTGTTGAGCTCGTTCGAGAGACTGTGAATATCATTCTCAACGCCTCTCACCAAATTCACTTTGTTCCGAATCTGCTGCTCTATGAGATCTGCAAGCCGCAACGCCACACTGGAAACGACAACATCCACCATGATCGCTTACAATTGTCTTAGTATGTATATAAATGGACGAACTACTTCTCTAGTTTAGTTCAATATGGCTTATAGGATATATGCTCAAGTGTCGAAGTTTTCATTCAAAATCTATATATGCTAACAACTTTTTTTTTTTTTTTTTTTTTTTTTTTTATCGATTTCTAAAGGGGAACCAGTTCAAATATGTATAAACAATTTCTAGTTTCAGGCTCCAACTACCACTGAAGGTAGAAAACGTGTTTTGACCATTTATTTTCCTCTAAAAAACGTCAAGGGGGCTTTTGTTTGCAAATTTGTCCAACAAATAATTGATTGAATTAAAAAAATAAATAAATTAAAAAAAACCTACTTGATATAATCAAAGTATTCATTATAGAGAATGTGCAGGCGCCCTCATTTGCTTTTGCATGAAGTCAACTGCCAAGTGTTATTTCATATAATTCATAAGTTTATTATGATGATCATCTTGCAAATTGTAAAAAAAGTATACATTTGCAAACATAGAAACTATATAATAAATCAACATTTATTGAGTTTTTTTTATTTTTTTTTTCTTCTTTTAATTAGAAACTCCGCGTAGAGGGGTTAGGAAGACCCAACCTATACATGACGATATCACTAGAAGAAAAATGGCTTTTTACTACGACCATTAACCGTAGCAAAAGGTTCATATTTCATAGGAAATGGCTTTTGCTACGAATTTGCCCCGTAGCATATGCGGCGGACATGACAAAAAACTTTGCTACCGTAAATGGCCATAGCAAATATTTTTTTGCTACGGTAAATCCTAGCATTTACTACGACTCCAAGATTGTCCCGTAGTAAAAGGTACCTTTTATTACTGACTTTTTACTGTAGTAAAAAAAAATCATAGTTCATTTTTCTACTGGTGTATATCACAATTTTACATAGTACTAAATGAGGTAGTTGCTAAAAGAAGAAACTATCATAATGATACAACATTTATACAACAAAACAAGACCTGCATTGTTTCTACACCTCCAGCAAATTTGAATTTCTGAGATTATTTTACGAATAAAAATAAAACTAAAAGTAAACGTATTTTTCAAAATACCGTGGAGCTTATGAGGACAGCGCAATTACACACAATCATGTTGGGAAAACAAGGTGTATACCTCACTTTGGTCGAATTTTCGAAGTAGAACCCACATTGAAAATGAAAAACAGAAAACAAATTATCGAATCTTAATCTGCATTTAGGTATCCTAATACGATTTCTGGAGCATAATCTATTTTAGAAGAAGTCATAAACAAAGAATTAGTTTGAATTACAAGTCACCGTCTTTGTCCGAAATATTGCAGCCATGCTGGTATGAAAGAGAGAGTCAAGTTAAATGATATTGGCTGAGGTAGCATGTCGATGGAATAATGCATTAATAATGCTTTCAGCCTTGCAAGTGAGACAAATTTAAGAAAGAAATAACAAAAAAAACCTAAGGAAATCAGAAATAAATAACCGACGCTGACCAAGAGATAGCAAAACATTCTAAATCAAATCTATGTGCATCTGTCGGTGTTTTCTTCTCTACCAAAAGGGTGTTTATAAATAGCATTAATTCTAGCTGTAACCTAAGAACCAATCAGTTATATGTCCGAGCCATAGCAAGGTACCTCACGAGGACCGAAATCATATATAAATCCCATATGTACTAACTAAGCTCACCGGTCAAATGGTTCCCTAATTATTTGTTTCCAGTAGTTTCACCAGTCTTCCGATTTAGGTAGCGGATAACAGCATCTTCGGTCCTACAATACCACAAAAGAAATAGGTAAAGAAACGGCCTGCTAAAACAAGCACTTTCTGTTTGCATGGTAAATATATATGTATGTATATATATATATATACAAACACAAGCATTACAATTAGGTAAAATTAACTGATTTATATGGAAATAAGAAAAAAGGTGAGACACCCAAAGAAATTTGTCACGTGCAGCATAAAAAGATAAGAAAACAAAACATACTTCATGGCAGGGTATAAATGAAATATACTGTCGATTTCAAGGACACATTAAGCAGCGTTGGATAACTCGAAAAGTACATTGACCACGACCATAAAAGACTTATTTCATGTAATAAAAATGCAAGAGTTTGTAGAACACATAAGAGACAAAATATACCAAGGTTGATTGAAGAATTCTGCCCGATGCTCATTCTCCACATCACGACTAGTATCCGAAGCAGCAACCTTTAAATCCCTTGCCTGAGAAGCTATTAGATTATTAATAAACTCTGCGGGCGACTGACTGAAGCCAAGAAAGAATGCTCTTCTCCTACGATGTTCGTGTATTTTCTTCAGAGCAGAAGAGATAGCTTCATCACAAGCATCAATCTCCTTGTTATTCTCTACGTTTGTCAAGAAAGTCGACATCTCCTTTTCCAATAACAAAGGAATATCGACCAGAACATCACAACAAGTATTTCCAGCTGGACTACCCCCCGAAAGCTTGATCCTATGCTCCAAGTGTATGTGTCCGGGTGGTGTGAGGTGGGGTGTTATCTTCTGCGTAACCATGGAGAATTTCAACTTTTCTTCCCCGAAAACCTTCTTTAGAGGCGGATCGCACATGAAAGAGGAGGTGTCACTAGGTATTTGTAAATTCCTCATCTTCACATAGTGCCAAAGGGCGGCCATAATTCTTGGACGTGTCTCCACCTCAATTTCAAGAACTTCTTGTAATGCGGGTGAAAGCTTAAATTTTTCTGGGGAATGATTCATCTCCAATCTAACAATCGCATTGAACTCCTTATCGCCTTTTCTCTTCACCTCAAACCCCTCGTGAAGAACAGGCGATCTCGAACTCTCCCATAAGATTACGTGATTATCCGGATATAGACCCTGATCCAAGTATATAGTAATTTTCTTGAAAAAAGAAGAGAACTTCGGGTATGAAGAAGAGTTTGATTTCTGCCCTGCTCCTTCCAAAAGAGGATCTTTCCCATCTTCCAAAATCCTCCCAATTAACCTAAGTGACCACGAAGGCGGCTCCGCATTTTCATTCGCAGAACTCGTCTCTGCTTGGTTCGCGTAAGTGTTGAACATGTATATACGCAGAACCTTCTGCACACGCACGGGATTTTTTAGGGATTCCACAATATCAATCTTCTTCCTCACAAGTGCAGCATCTATACGAGACTCGAATTCAAGCAGTTGAGTATAAAGAGCAGATTCCGGCAACATCGCCACGACTTTCTCGGGTATTACTTTATCCGGAAGCTTCCTTTTCCCTCTCCGCACGGTAGGTGTCAGTTCCATGGTTTTCATGGGCGAAGCATTTCCCTGACCAGCGGACCCGCCGGGGGGTCTAGAAGGGGGTCTGTTCAGGCGCTTCGCAGGTGCACCAGAACCGGGTGTGGAAACCAAGGGTGATGGGATGCTGATGTTAGTGTTGCCCTGGGTTTGGCCCATGACTTGCGCCTGAGATGAATGGTCCTGATTGAATGCGTGCATTTGAGGCTCCGACTGTTGAAAGTGTCCGGGGAAGTAGGGTCTGCCTTGCGGCTGTGATTGAGATAGCAGGTGGGGTACCTGCTGCTGATTATGGTTCGCAGGCATTTGCATTTGCATTGGAATTTGCATCTGCGTGTGCATTTGCATTCCACTTGGATTGCCGAAACCAAAGTTCCCCCTCGGAGGGTTGTTATTGTTGTTCATATTGTGATGATTCATTGGAACTTCCTATTTTGCAGCATCGACGATGAAAGCGATTAAGTTCTGCAAATTCAACAATACTTTATCAATCCCAAAAATTAATAAAAAAAAAAAAAAAAATTGAAGGGTAATAGTTCTCTTCATAATCCTATTCTTCAACAGCAAAAGATATTAACTTTTTTCTTTAATAGATAAAAAATAATGCAAATTTAAGTTCGGTGATAATAGAAAGGGCAATTATAACCAGAGGTTTAAGCCTTTAGGAGAGAAAACAAAAGAAAAAACAGTACCAGATTAAACAATTAAGCAATAATTTCCCTTTATAGAACTGAACTTATAGAATCCCTCGCCCTAATTTCTCATCGGGTTCGCAAACAAACAGTTTTTGCAGCATATTTCCAAAACCGAATCCGTTAAAACCTGGAAAAAATTTAAAAGCCCAGCTCCTAAAATTACAAATTTTTTTTTCTGTGAAATCTAATCCATGGAGCGGCATTCTGAGAGCTTAGAAATTGACAGGAAGAATAATGTACGAACGAGAACGAATGATAGTAAATTGAGAAGATATAGAAAGAAAGATACACATATAAACAGAGAGAGAGAGAGAGAGAGAGAGAGAGAGAGAGAGAGAGAGAGAGTCAGAGAGAGACGATCTTACGGGATGGAGGTGGAGAGATGCGTTTAGGGTTTGAATTGCAGTAACGAGCGAAATATTGGAATTGGGAGAAATTGGGGGCGACCGGGTTTTCATTCATATTACGAAATGACGAAATCACCCTCCAATTAGTGGGAATTAGAAACGCCAACCGCAATACTCAATTTACAAACGATTTGGAAATAAAAATATAACTTATAACCCTTTCCTTTATTGCACAATTATTTCAATAATTAATTCTATTTTCTTAAACTTGTTATACTTTTTAAATTTAACGTAACTATCATTTTTCCCCGTGCGTGCGATGCACGTGATATATTTAAATAGTGAAAAACAGAATAATCAATTTAATACATAATATGAAAATATAGTACATATTAAGATTTAGGGTAAATTACAAACACCCCCCTGAGGTATGACCAAATTACAAAAACACCCCTCTTGTTTGGATAATTACAACCACCCCCCTCAACTCATCAAATTTACTGGAATCTTCGAGATTATATGGAATATTATCACTTTTGTACCCGTTTTATCCCATTCAAACTCAACATTATGAAGCAAGATGACCATAATATGTGATTTTTAGCTTGTATATATCAGTTTGTGGTGCATCGAAAACTGTATTTTTTACACAAAGAGTACAAACTAGAGCACATTTCACGGAATCTAGATGACTATGTTGAATTTGGCACCATAAAGGTAAGAAAAAATCATAGTTGAGGGGGTAGATGTAATTATCCAAACAAGAGGGGTTTTTTTATAATTTAACCATACCTCAGGGGGTGTTTGTAATTTACCCTAAGATTTATAATACAAATAAATAGACTAAGATTTAACTAATCGAATTTCTATCTTTATCTCTTAAGATTTGAGATATATTGATGAAAAATAGGAGATTAATAATTATTGAAAATTATAGTTAAAAAATTAGTACAGAAAAAAATATTAAAAATAAGGGTAAATTACAAACACCCCCCTGAGGCATGGTCAAATTACAAAAACACCCCTCTTGTTTGGATAATTACAACCACCCCCTCGGCTCCTCGAATTTTGTGGAATCTTCGAGATTTTATGAAATATTATCACTTTTGTACCCGTTTTATACCATTCAAATTCTACATTATGAAGCAAGATGATCATAATATGTGATTTTTAGCTTGTGTATATCAGTTTGTAGTGCATCGGAAACTGTATTTTTACACAAAACGAATACAAACTAGAGCATATTACACGGAATATTACACCCCGTTCTGGGCGTTCGTACACGCCTTGGGCGCCCATCTTGGGCGTTCGAACATTTTTTTGAGAAAAAAAAAAAAGTCCTACAAATCGATTTGTAGGGCTTTTTAACATGAAATTGGTTCCGTAATCGACCTACCCAATGCATATCCCTTCTTCAAGCTTGATTTCGAATTTTCGATTTTTTTTTTTTTTTTTTTTTTTGCTATTTGCAGTTTTGGGGGGTTTTTTTATATTTTAAAAAGTTTTGGGGGGTTTTGTTATAAACCGCGAATAGCAATTTTGTGACCGCAAATAGCATTTCATTAAAAAAATCATTAATACACCGTAAGCACATGCTAAACTAATTTCATACATAAATCAGTAAGATCTGTTACGCTTTCATCGAATATGATACTGTAGTCTGTAGGTACAAATTCCAAACCGGGCCTGAATAATGGAGTTCGGGTCGACCTCGTTGAAATCACTGAAGTTAAAAATCTTAGATTAAGGTACATAACACACAATCCAAATTAGAGGCACTGTCAACGTTCTCTCAAACACACAGACGCGAGCACACATACAAAACACAGACACACGACAATTGAGAATAAGATACAAATGTTAGTACGCGATCAACAACTAAACTCGGAGCCAAGGCAATTAAAAACTTCACCGAGTATTTATAATCCATGTATCATAGAATTTCACGATAGAATGACGATTGGGATTAGGGATGCAGTGGGCCATCTCAAGGTTGTGCAGCTTCTAGAAGTTTCTCGTACACCTGTCTCGCATTCAAGTCCTCCACCTGCCAATCAAATTTCGTAAACAAAATATTAATTTTCTATTGACAAATTCTCTATAAAGCGAAACAATTAATTCTCGAAAGAGCTCACATCTCAAACTTACCACCAAGAGCTTTGATTTGTTATTCCACCCTCTTTGAAGAGTCATCTGGCTCAATTTAAGACCTAATACCTGTTTCAATTAGTTTTTATCAGGAAAGTTCGAAATGTGACGTATTGAACATTTTAATATGATGTTAACTATTTTTATTTTTTTTTGTTTTGTACTTTTCCCATAAATTCTAAAAGCTCGTTGTTAGCTTCTCCCCGGGCTGCAGGTGCAGCTATCGTAACTCGAACATCATCAGCATTTACTCCTGGAACAAGTTAAGTCACAAGGTTCTTAGCATAGATCTTTTTCTTCATTTGTAAAAATGATGGTTATCATCATATAATAATGTAAAAATTCTAAAACAGCATCTAGAAAGCATGTAAATACTTAAACCACATAAATAACAAATTATTCGACATATATCTATAATTTTGCCGTGTAGAAAGTGATTACATTCAATAATAATTTTAATATCTTTAACCACATAAAGACTAGGAAGAAAATTTCACAGAAGCAACCTGACTAATATATAAGGAAAATTATATGCAGTAAGATCACAGTTGAAATTTAGGGCATAAAAATAATACGAAAACTGAGACCGAAAAAAAAAACACATGATTTTCAAATTAATCACTCATTCACATTATATTAGTCTATGCGCATTTTGAGAAAAAATGCGAGTTCTAACTCTAGAAGATATGCTGAGACTTATCCTAATTATTGATATAATACAGGATCAGATTATTTTCATGTTCTTCAACGATATAATGAGTATCATGTAAATTATTTGTAATTTAAAATCTTTTTTAGTATCATCAGAAACATTACAGTCGTAAAAAGCCAAATAATTTAATCTCCAAATGCTTAACTTATATCATCCGACTTGATTAGTTTTTCTTTTTCTTTCTAATGAAGCAAATAAAAAGCTCAGCCGTTAGTTCATTCATGTTCATCAGTGATTGCAATGACAGGTTTCTCTTGGCAGAAAAGTAACATTACACGTCACATATCGTTTAGCGTAAGGAAAAGAAATCGAGAAGGGGATTACTTGTGATTGCAGAGCGTTGTGAACGGTCTTCCACTTCTATGGCCACTTGAACAAGGCCTCCTTCTAACTGTGAGATGCACGGCGGAACAGGAGCATCCTACAGTATATATGGCTAACGGTCAAACATAACCTAACTAAACAGTTATCTGCTCGGATAGAAAGGAAGAACTAGATACAATACATAAAATATGCTAAAGATTAGCAGAAATATTATAATTTGAATAAATGCCAAGTACAATTATAGTAGGTTAAACAGAAATGTGACAAGGATGAATTCCAACACATTGATTTGTAAATTAAGCAGGAAAAGCAGCAAAAACGATTCACGAACTCTGCATTTGTTATGTTACCTGTGGATTTGTTTCAGCAGCGATTGAACTAAGGGCACCATCCACGACATATATAAAAGAAGCAGATTCCAAATCTTCTTCTGAACGGTAGCAAACAAGCAGCTCACAACCCACACAATTCATTCGATACTGTTTCTCGAATTTCCCTTCACCGCTGAATAAATAAGATCCACCACAATCAAAATTTATCCATCAAGTCTACTAAATTATGAAAGGAAAGGTCATATGACTAAATTTATGGTTCGACTACTATATTTCAAGCAATAAGCACATTTACCAATAAACATAAGTATCGAATCTTCACCATACAACAATTGTTATTATTTATGGATTTCCTTTTCATTTCAATTGCTAACTTTGGAGACCCGATTAAAAATATTAAATATAACAAGCTCTAAGAAGAAAAATCTTCAAGATGAAACGACCTCTATCATATTACAAGTTTAATTCTATTCAAGTCGGTGAAAGATGTAACCATTTCTTGACAATGCCATTCTTCCAAATAACTAAAAGACGCGTCTTTTAGTAACATACAATTAAACCAGTCATTAAGAACTAAGAACAGTGTCATGCTAAAGTTCAAAGAAAATTCACCAAAATATACAAGCACACCAGAAATATTACCGTTTTAAGAGCACCTTTCCAGCTTCGCTTGTGTTCAACCTCGCCAGATGCTTTTTCTTATCCAAAACATACGATTTGTCCGTTTTTCTCTTGGGCATTTTCTGCAATTGAGTATCTACAACTATAATTTAGTATGGAGAAACCCTAAACTTCAAAATTAAACAAAAATCTCAAGGGGATAAATCATAATTGCACCTAAAAGATTCGCCAAGCGCACAAAATTTCATTTAATTACGACAAGCATGTCATTCAAACTGCAGGGAAAATCGCCAAGGTGGAATCTTCAGTAATAAACTAAAAAATGCACACACACACTCATATATGTAGAACTCAATCAAACACGAAATTGAACATAAAATCTGACCAATTCAAACAACAAAGCAGTTGAGTCGAATAAAAAATTCACACAAACAAATTGAAAAAAATAAATAAATCGGAGAATCCACAATCGAAGAAATTAATTCAGAGGAAGTGTAGTTGAAGGTAAAATAAAAATAAAAAAGTACCGGTGATAAGGACATGGGAGCCGCAGGGCTTGCAGTAATAGACGAAGAGATCGGAGTCCGGACCTTCCGGCAAAGCGTCCTCGCTCGAATATGTGTGCGTCGTTCTCTTCGGCATTTTTGTATCTATATATTTTTGTATCTATATGTATATATCAGCTCTCTGCAATCGGTACCCACTTGAACACACGGTTATGTGTGTGTGTTGTGTGTTTCCCTCTTCCCTGCTGTTCCTAAGTTGAATGAAATGAAAACTCCAAAAGTTCCAATTTTCAAACAACCCTCAAAAAAATTTTATTTCCTATTTTTCGGATTTTTTTAACTGAAATGATTTGTGCAGGCATAAATTAAGCATTCAGGCACATTTTTTACCATTTCTCAAAAACCAAAAGGTAAAAAACTCAAAAAACTCTCTCAACCCTCTCGATTTTCTTTCGCAAAGCCCGTGCAAATCGTCAACAGATCGGAGGTAATTTTTACGTTTTTACGATCCTCTTGTTATGTAGATTACGAATCCGAAAAAAAAAACGAAAAAATCGAGCTTAGCATCACTCGTGTGAATTTACACGAGCGGAGCGACTTCGGACGTGTAAAGTCACACGGAGTTTGAATTATAATTTTAATT